TAACGATAACCAGGAAGATACTGGAGGATTCCTGCACAGCGTCCCAGTGTAATGGAAAGTCCCCAGGGAACCACATGGTCCGGTGGGTCATCTGAATTCTGCCAGGGTTGACTTAGCAATGGACTGGCAAGCTGGCACTTCAGAAAGGATCCAATTGTGCTGCTCTAGAGGCTACTCCCGTCCCGGGCTCAAGCTCTCCATGTGCCCAGCGGCTTAAAAGCTGGAAGTACAGGGACCTGGGAGACCTTTGCTGACTCAGCAGAATCAGACGCAAATTGCCGAGTCAGCGTGGGTTTGCTCCTGCCAAGAGCTGACGGCCTCACCACACCTAACTCCAGTGTTCCTCCGTCACCGCCAAGAGGGCTCGGAGCTCGCCCCTTCCCGAGCCCTCCTCCAGGAGCCATCTCTTAGGTTTCAAAGACTCACCCGAGAACCTGAGCTAGGGAGATGATGGAAACTCAGGGAAACTGAGGTCCCAACCAGGAAATCATCCCCAGTAATGCTGAGGAGCAGAGGGTCCCAGTGAAAGAGGGGCCAGGACTGAATTCACAACCAAGGGAGGCATTATGATCCCCAGTTCACAGAAGTGAAAATGAAGGCTCAGAGAGGTAAAGTCACGTGCCCAAGGCCACACAGCCAGGAAATGGCAGATCTGGGATCCTAAATCATTGCTCCCCAAACATGTGGACGGAGATGTAGGACATGACTTTAATTGGTGCAGTGAGAAAGCCATCCTTGTTTCTATTCTCCTTTAAGTCCTCCAAGAAGAAAGTCTCGTTTGGTGCTAACATGACTTTAACGCCTCCCAAACCCTTGCAACATCCCTTCTTAACAATGAGAGAGCAGGCTTCAGGCTCAAATCCTTCAGCGGGAAATAGTATTTTGGTAAAATAATATTTATTTTTTACAATTATCTTCTGTTTATGCAAATGATGCTAGCTTTCCATAAGTTTGAAGTTTAAAAAGTGCATTGATTTAAAGAAAACTATTACAGATATAATAGTACAGATGGTGCACAGATAAGGTCACAGCCTTTTTTTTTTTTCTTTTTGTGAGGAAGATCAGCCCTGAGCTAACATCCGCGCTAATCCTCCTCTTTTTGCTGAGGAAGACCGGCTCTGAGCTAACATCTATTGCCAATCCTCCTCCTTTTTTTTTTTCTTTTGTTCCCCAAAGCCCCAGTAGATAGTTGTATGTCATAGCTGCACATCCTTCTAGTTGCTGTATGTGGGACGCGGCCTCAGCATGGCCAGAGAAGTAGTGCCTCGGTGCGCGCCCGGGATCCGAACCCGGGCCACCAGTAGCAGAGCGCACGCACTTAACCGCTAAGCCGCGGGGCTGGCCCAAGGTCAGTCTTAAAGGTGGACTGCAGGTGACTTGAGTTTGTCAAAGGAGATGCTGTCATAAAACATGGGGAGAAGACTCGCTGGTTGACGGGTCTAATGTCTCTTCATCTTAAGAGTATCTGTTGAAAAGGAAAGAAATCTAAACGGCTTCCTCCCGCTGTTCTTGACTGTATCCTCACCTCCCTTCTCCTGGGCAGCTGGGACCTCAGGCCTGGGAGGGAAGGAGGGACGGGGAAGAAGCAAGACGGAACAAGATGGCATAAACGGCTGCCAGCCCTTCTGAAACGGGATGGTGGGGCCTCCCAAACTCTTCTCACAAGAAGTGCTTCTCACTTGCCCCAGGGCCTCTCCATAAGCCACAGGGAAATCTCTAGATGAAAAGAAAAGGGAGCATGCTTTCCAAGAGACATGGCAGAGCAGCCAGGAGGGCCTTCACACTGCAGTCTTGTTCTGAATAGGAACAGCACGATTCGGGTAGAAAACCTGGACACAGAAAATGCTGGGGGAGGAGGAGGAGTCCATAGCGACGACTGTGTGTTCGATACACACGGAAACAGAGACCACTTCTCCCTCCCCGCACTGAGTCATGAAAATGTGCCTAGGGATCTGAGATCCATCTTGTCACATCCAGGCAAAGTACAAGTGCACGTGTTTAGGAAAGGCTTTACAAAAGCCAAAATAGTCTCTGAGGATTTTTTTCCCCATAAAATACATTGTCAATTACCATAAGTCAATAGTGCATGTAACCAGGCATTTGTGCACACATAACAGGAACGCGGGCATTGCCCAGGTCTGGCGGTGCCAGGTGGCTGCAAGCAATAGCGGGCCCTCTGGGAGGAGAGCCACATGTGCCAAGCTACGGCTGGAGTCGGAGGAATGAGCCTGGGGACTCCAGATGACAGCTGGAACGTCGGAACTGGTCTTTGCTCTCAGAAGCTCCCCCCCGGAAGAAGCAGACCTTCCCACTACGAGAGCCCCCATCTGGGCTGGCAGAAGGCAAATCCCCAAGTGCCCACTGCTGTGTGGCTTCAGACTTACCTCTGCTGGGAATCTTCCAAGAATGCGGTGACCAGGCTCCCCCAGGCCACCAAGGCCACCTGCAAACTCCTCCTCTATTTTGCTGGTTATTTGGAAACTAACTTTTTCTATATAAAACCTGAAGTTCTGATGGCTGCTCATTAGATTAAATCAAGCTTTGCCTCCATAGCAGAAAACCAGAAGCTTCCCTCAGCCCGAGATTAGAGGCTGCTGGGGGTGGAGATGCACGCGAGGCCCCCATTGCCCATTGACTATGCTTCAGAACGGCAGCCATGAGTGGGAACCACGGGTGTTGAGGGAGAAAGCTGGTGGTCTCCGGGAACATTAGGGGTGAGATGGGCTATCTCAGCAGTGAGGACGCAGTGAGGCATCAACTGAGAGGTCTACTCCCAGTCCACTGGCTGACCATCTGGGGACCCCTCTTGTGCACGGACCTCGGGGTACATGGTAGACAGTTTGCAAAAATGGCCTCAATTATTTCCTGCCTGTATCCACATCCCTTTTCAAAGCCTCCCATCAAGTGGTGGAGTCTATTTCCCCATCCTTTGAATCTGAGCTCAGCCATCTGACTTACTCTGACCAACAGAATGGGGCAGAAATGACTTTATGCCAGCTCCCAGCCTGGGTCTCAAGAGCATCGCACACTGCTGCTTGCTTTCTTGGAAACTGCCATCACGGCCATGGAAACAAGCCTGAGCTAGCCTGTTGGAGGACGAGAGCCACGTGGCCCAGTTTCCCCCACTGGCCTAGCCAACAGCCAGCCAACAGTCAGAAGCAGAGTTGTGTAGCTGGCCATCAGCTGACCACAGACACAGGAAGAAGTCTGGTTGAGACCAGAAGAATCTCCCAGCTGAACCCAGCCCATATTGTTGACCCACAGAATCACAAGCTAAATAAATGGCTGTTGAAAGCCACTAAGTTTCAGGTGGTTTGTTACGCAGCATTATTCATGGTAACAGCTAACTGATACACTGGGTGAGAAGTGATTCACCTGCTTTGAACTTTCTGGGGAAAGACCAGGTAGCCATCATGAGACTCTGTCCCCATCTGGGTAAGGGTCAGTGGGGTGGGGTTGGGAGGACACAGTCTTCAGAAGCGAACATTTCTTTCTTTCAAATTAAAAAAATCCCCACAACACAGAAACAAAAAAATAACCCAGATTCACACATTTCTCTGTTTATATATTTTTTCTCTATATATACACACAACTTTTCAGGAAACAATTACAAGATATGTTGGCAACACCGAGAAAAAGAGGGCACTCCACAGACCGAACAACACCTACGCATTCGATTCCAGGACACGAGGACGCACACGATGTACGGGGACCTGGATAAGCACAGGAAGCCACATAAAGAGGAGTTATTCCAAATCACAACCACGGACGCTCTCTGGAACACCACGAGAGGAGGCGGAGAAGAGATCTTGTGCGGTACTGTGTGACTAGTCTGTCAAAAAAATAAATAAGAATCGGAAAGTCTAGGACCTGGGTCTTACTAAAATAACGTCCTCTGTCAGGAACAGCTGAGTGGCAAAATAAACTTTTATCTGGAGGGGGCTTTTGCACGTGTTTCGCCATCTTGGGAAGTTGGGGGACCAGGGCGAGGAGACACACTCTCACGGAGCGCTCTTCGGAAGCAGGAGCCATCTAGGCTTCGTCCATCCCACCCCAGAGGCCCCACCTGGCGGAAGTTGGGGGTTCAGATGCAGCTGAAGGCGCTGTGACTGAGAGAAGAGCCTTCACAAGTATGCAGGGCGGGGATTTCTCCTGAGGACTAACGCGCTCCTTGTGCAAATACTTCAAGGTGCTTCTCCTCCCCTCTCCCGAATCCCACCTGCCATTCTTGGGAAGAGCACGCCTCCCTGACTCTGTTTCTCCCGATTCTGGTGCATTCTCAGAACAGAAGAGTTGGCAGGACTGCTCCACTGGGAGGACAGGTAGGCAGGGTGACTAGCAGACTTAGGGTCTGTCTGTGGACTGGGGACTCTGTGTGTGAAGACGCGGAGGGGACGGTTTCCTCCCCTAGCCGTGACCCTGGCGCCAGTTCATCAGCACACGTTTCTCAAGGAAAACACACACCACGCTCGACCCTGGCTGACCTCTATCCTCCTTTTCCTCCTTTGTCCTGAGTGAGCAAGGGCACTTAGGGAAAGCCAGCCTCCCTGACCAAGTGGCTGTCACCAACACACACCTTCCAAGCTTCTGGAGCACCTGACCCACTGTGTGGAAGGAGAGGCGAGGTCTTCCCCAGGAAGAGAGGAAGGGGATGCGGACTCTCCTTGCCCAGGGGGCTCTGGGCAGGACTGAGGAGAGCCTCAGACTATGGCACCTTCCAGACACTTCTCCAGTTCCATCGTCCATGCAGGGAGATGCCTTTCTTGAAAAGAAGAAAAGAAGTCTCTCCTGGGGTCAGGCGGAGGAGAAAACAATGAGAGAATACGACAGATGGAATCCTGGACCCTAAGAGAGATGTGTGCAGGACTCTCGTGTGCCTTCTCCAAAGGGGGAGAAGCCTCAGGACACAGGTGGCTTAGGTATAAAGAGAGCGGGGCGGGAGATATTTGTAGCCCCCTCTAAGCCAGTGGTTCTCACATGGGGGGCATTTGGCAATGTCTGGAGACATTTTGAGTTGTCAAGACTCGGGTGGGGGATGTGCTGGCATCTAGTGGTCGAGGCCAGGGATGCTGTTCAACATCCTGCAACGCACAGGACAGCCTCTCTCAAAAAAAGAGTTACCCAACCCACATGTCAATAGTGCTGAGGGGCAGAAACCCTGCTCCCAGCCAATCTTCCAGCCATGTTCTGGAACATCTCCGAAGGCCCCTTTCAGTGGACAGAGGTAGCCCCACAGACCTCTCCTACACCAATTTCCAAAAAAATTCCCTCCCGAAGTCTCACCTGACGGGACAGTGTGGAGGGATGGGGGAGAGAAGAAGAGAGAGGAGACCATTCCGGAAGCCACGAACGAAGATGTTTCCTCTGTCCACCAACAACCCCCAACTCCCACAAGGGAGGGATCCAGACTTGGGCGATCTTTGGTCAAACAGGAAAACATAAGGCTGAACTGAAGGGGCAACCCCTCGACCCCACCTGCCTGGCGGCCAAAGTCGGGGCAGTTTCCTTTTGCACAGAAGTCCACGCTCAGGAACAAACGCCAGGAGCTCGCTCCCGGGGCGGCCGGGGGGCAAAGCGGGCAGGACAGGTGGGCGGCGCTCGGCTGACGCTGCCTGGTGAGGTGGCCCTCACTTGTTCTCAATTAGAGTCTGCACCTTGCACACCAGGTCCCGGGCCAGCTTCAGGATCTGCTTGGTGTTGTGTCGCTCGGCCATTTCTGAAAGAGCAGAAGGCAGCATCTCAGGAGCCTTGTTCTGTGTCCCTCTTTGGATCCACATCCAGCTCCAGAGGGGTCTCTGGGGCATCCCCATCATCATCATCTGGCATCATCCCCAGAACGGCTCTGGAAGCGGAGACCTCGGGAAAGGTCTGCCCCTCTAGACCTCAGTTTCCTCATCTGTAAAATGGGAACCATAACAGTACCCACTTCACAAGGTTACTGTGAGATCAAACGAGATGATGTGCTTAAAAAATGTTAGGTCTTCCCAACCTCCTCCTGTAAACACAATGACTGGGAACCTTTTAAGAAAGCAATGCCGGGCATATGGTAGATGCTTAAAGGTATGAAAGGAAGGAAGCAACAGAAGGAGAGAGGAGTGGTGGGGAGGAGAGAAAGCAAAAAGAATAATTTTATCAAGAGCCACACAAAATGATCAGATCTTTAAAGCAGAATAATCCTAAACCTAGACATTTATCATCAAGAAATCATTTAGTAGAGGAAAAGGCACTAAGACCATGGTTTCCAAACTGGGTGCCAAGGTACCCCAGAGTGCCACTGGGAACTCATAGGAATTGGGAGGGAAACACGGGAATACTCCACATCTGTGGAGCACCACACAAACTGCCAGCATGAATGAGTTCACAAATGGCACTCATTTCTATCACTGACTTTATATCTTTGCAACGCTAGGTTTTCAGCAAGCAGCTGCTGTGATACTCAGAAGCAAGTACCACGTGAAAACCACTGCGGAGCAGGAAATGCAGGTGGTGGTGTCCGATCTGACCCAAGGTTTGAGAAGCTGTGCAAAGGTCAACAGGTGCACACCTCCCGTTAGTAATTGCAGTTATTTAAAAACGAAATAAAAATATTATTTTCTTTTGACTTATGTGTATAATTTTTTCAAATGGCACTGTGGAACTTAATAAAAGACACCTTAACTAAATTGGAGTCAGAAGGCCTGTAGGGGGAGCTCTCACACCCCATCACACATCATCAATTACACCAAACAGGAAGGGTGGGACACTTGCATCTTAGGAAGTAAAATTGCTTTACTGCTGAAGGACGATTTCTCTCCCCACCTGGCAACAGCCCAGCCAATGAGAAGCTGTTGCTGCCCTGAACTGTTACTTTCCCCCAATGGACCTTCCTTTAGAACAGCCCCTCCCTACTCCCCTTTTTCTCTATAAAAACAGCTCCTCTCCTTTATTTTCTGGATTTGCCTATGGTTTGCCATAGCACGTAAATCTGAAACTGCAATTCTTTTGGCTATTCTGGAATAAATTTATTTTTAGATAAAATAACAGGTAAATTTGTTTTTTAAGTTGACACTACTATTGTTAGGATACAAATACTTATTAAGTGGTTTGGACCTAACTACTTACTGAATGGAACTTCCCACCTGGGGTGCTGTGAAAACTTTTCAGACACTAGAGGTGCCATGAACTGAGAAAGTTTGAGAACCTCTACACTGAGATGGGAATGGCTCTGGCTTCTCAATCACACCCTCAAACTGAAAACAACCTAGATGCCCACCAATAGGGGATGCTTCAGGAAGTTAGGGATAGTCACTTGAGGTATATTCTGTCTTAAAAAATGATTACAGGGGCCGGCCCCATGGCATAGTGGTTAAGTGCGCGTGCTTCGATGCTGGCGGCCTGGGTTCGGATCCCGGATGCGCACCAATGCACTGCTTGGCAGGCCATGCTGTGGCGGCGTCCCACATAAAGTGGAGGAAGATCGGCATGGATGTTAGCTCAGGGCCAGTCTTCCTCAGGAAAAAGAGGAGGATTGGCATTAGGTTAGCTCAGAGCTGATCTTCCTCACACACACACAAAAAAATGATTACATGGCAGACAGTTTTTAAAATATTAAGTGGAAAAAAAACAATACAACTGGATTCTGTGATGGTAACAACATAAAAATATACACAAATGTGGAAAAGATTGGATGGAAAAAATTTTTTTAATTTAAAGATTTTTAAATTGAATTAAAATTTTTTTCCAGGGTGAGGTCACAGGTGGCTTTTTCTAAAAACCTTCTTTAGTTTTTAACATTCTTTAAATAGTAATAATAGTAGCAATAGTTTCCAGCTGTGGGACTCCTCATATGGGCCAGGTGTCACGTGATGGGCTGAGTCACGTTGGCTCATTTAATCCTCCTGACAGCTCTGTGAGGGTGCTGGTGTTAGCACCATTTTATCCCTAAGGAAGCTGAAGCCCAGAGACATGAAGTCACTTGAAGTGACTTGAAGTCACATGAAGTCAGCTCTCGAGTGGCAGAGCTGGGGTCAGAATCCACATCTGTCTGATTTCAAAAGCTGTGCCTTTTTCATGGCACGTCAACTGCCTTCCTGTGTCTGCTTTTCCCGCGCATGTCAACCCTCGGAAGTAGACACTGTCACCCCGTTTCACAGATGAGGAAGTGGACGTTTAGAGAGAGGGGAAGTGACTTGTCCGTGGGCACAGCCGGTTAGCGGCAGAGCTAGGGTCTGACCTCGACCTTGATTTCAACACCCATGCTCCTTCTGCCAGATCCCCGAGAAAAACGCATCCTCAGCATTACAAGATATCAACTCATCCATCTGGAAATAGCCGCAAGAAGCGGGCAGAACCCCCCTGCACCCCTTCACTGTGCATCCATCTCAGTGAGTCTCCACCCGCCCCTGGGCCCCAGGAAGGACCCTTCCAGAAGCCTGCACCCCTCAGACGAGACCCTGATGATGTGGGTACCATTAAAGAATTTGATGATGTCTGTGAAATCCATGTTGTTCTCCAGGATGATGTCACGGTAGACCTCCACCAGAGCCAGCGCGATGAACAGGACGTAGTGGGCGGACGAGACGTGCTTGGCTGCCCAGATGGTCTCCCAGACGGAGAAGACGTCATCATAGATGAGTTCTGCCGAGACACCAACACACACACGGATGTGGAGGGTTAGCCACAGAGCTCACGGAGCTCTGGGAAAATCCCAGGCCAGCTGTGCTCTGAGCTCGTGTCCTGGTGTGGCGAACAGAGCTCAGGCCAGGAGGCAGGAGACCTGGACTCTGTCACCTCACCATCAGAAGCCTCAGTTTTCCCCATCTGTAGAACAGGCTATGCAAACCAGGTGGGTTCTCAGTTTCCAGCTCTGGCATTCTCGAAAAGTAGAGGAAGTGAACACGTACAGGCTTGGTTTACACTGGCCTGCCCCTGCCCTGCCTCTTAACCAGGGTTCCCCTCCCTCCCTGCACCCTCCAGCTCCTTTAGCACCCAGGGGGGTATCTCCCCTTCCCTCTGCACACAGACAGAGCTGGCTGCCACCTCTGGGTCTAGGAAAGAGATAGAACGGAGCTATGGTTAAGAGCAAGGCTCCTTATGTCCAATAAACCCAGTCTGAATCCAGCTCCATCACTTATCAGCAAGGCGACCCTGGGCTAGCTACTTCCCCTCCATAAGTCTCTCCCTTTCCTCGTCTGTAAGTGGGGTAATGCCGACAGAAGTAAAGAACTAAAGAGACAACACATAGACACAGCCCAGCACAGTGCCTGGCACTTAATAAACACCTCCACACGTGTTAGATATTATTATTAGCATCACCCCAAATTTGCACAATAGCAATGTAGTGTGTTGTACGTCATTTCTAAGTGACTGTGAAACACGCTCCATGGGCTTCCGAGTTCTTGCTCTGATAAGCAGCCTAATAGAATGGAAGGGAACTGGGCTTGGGAGGGAGACAGAGGGGGGCTCAGATCCTGGCTCTACTATCCCTAGCTCTGAATTTAATTCTTCTCAGCCTTAGTTTCCTCATCTGTAGAATGGGGACTGTAACAATACCTACTGCATAGTGTCGTTGCAAGGTAAGGTAGGTGAACTGATCGTTAGAACTCAATAAACGGGTGCTACTCTCTTCTGCTGGCTTTGCTCCAACACCCCCCAGCCTCACCTCCATGGTTTCTTTTCCCCTGAGGTTCAGCTGCAAAGAGGCTGGGAACAAGGCCCCAGTTTGAAGTCTGTACCTCGCTTGAAATCCAGCAGGAACCAGCGGTAGCAGAAGTAGAAGTGCGTGTAGTCCCCGTTCTGATGCATCAGCTCAAAGAGCTCCGAGTCCAGGATCTGTCAGGGGGAGGAAAGGTAGGCATCAGCTTCCTGGGAAGGGCCTGACCAGAGGGGACAGCTGAATACATGAGGGCACATCACCACACCAGACACCATACGCACAGCCCTTAACAAGCAGGTGGAGTCAAAAAACGGGCGAGGGATTTGAAGTGGAAATCAGCCTAGCTCAACCCAACTCAGTCGTTTCCCCAAAGAAGATATGCAAATGGCCAACAGGCACAGGAGAGATGCTCAACATCACTAATCATTCGGGAAGTGCAAATCAAAACCACAACGAGAGACCGCTTCCCACCCCCTAGCATGGCTATAACGAAAATGACAGACAACACAGTGTTGGCGAGGATGTAAAGAAACTGGAATCCTCATGTGTTGCTGGTGGGGATGTAAAATTGTGCAGGTGCAATTACACTCCTACTATGTCCCTAAAGAGAAATGAGAACACGTCCACATCAAAACTAGTACATAAATGTGCACAGCAGCATTATCTATAGTAGCCAAAAAGTGGAAAGAACCCAAAGGTCCTTCAACAGATGAATGGATAAACAAAATGTGGTATATCCACGCGATGGAAAATTACTTGGCAACAAAAAGAAATTATGTACTGATACATCCTACAACATGGATGAACCTTGAAAACAATACGCTGAATGAAAGAAGCTAGACACAAAAGGACAAAGATGGCATGATTCCATTTATATGAAATGTCCAGGTAAATCTATAGAGACAGAAGGTAGATTAGTAGTTGTTGAGGGCTGGGGAGAGGGAGTGACGTGAATGGGTATGGGGTTTCACTTTGGGGTGACAAAAACGTTCCGAAATTAGATAGTGATGATGGTCTCACAACTCTGAATATTCTAAAAACCACTGAATTGTACATTTAAAAAGGGTGAATTTTACAGTATGTGAATTATATCTCAATAAAGGTGTGTGTGTGTGAAATATATGCAAACATTACCTTGAGGAAAAGGACCAATACAATCCAACATCCTTTTAAGGGTGAGGGCCATGTCTTGTTCCTTGTTGTAGTCACAGTGCCTGGACTGAGTAAATGCTGAGTGAGAATGAATCTAGTCGAGTTGATTTGAGTTGTTAAGTTTGAGATGAATTGAGTTTTTTTTACTTCAATTCAGAGGGTGAGTTGAATTGATTTTTGAGTTGAATTCAGCTGGGCTGAGTTGGGTTGAATGGAGTCAAGCAGGACTGAGTTACTGAGTTTAGTTAAACTAGGTTTGGATACGAAGTTGACTTGACGTCCACTGGGCTGAGCTGGAATAAGTTATATTTTGAGTAGGACTGGGTCATACCTGGATGAGTGACCTCATGTTGGCAAAGTGCGTGTCCATGGCGCCTCCGTGGGGGAAGTTCTGGTTCATCCTCTTCATGAGCTCCGTGAAGCAGCTGAAGGCAAGGGCCTCTGGGGAAAGAGCATGGGAGAAGCAGTCAACTCTGCCACTGCCCAAGGAGCCCGCTCCCAGGGTGATGGGCTAAGGCCTGGAGCTGGTTCACCAAGTCCACAGCCAAATGAGAAACATAAGGACAATGAAGTGCCAGGGCATTCCACTTTGAGGGATGGACTCCAATCAAATTAATTACATACTTCCCACCTTAGAGGTGTTCAAATATCCTTGCTTATAGAAAATGATGGTGACAGCAGATGCTCTTTCTCAAAGACCTCTATTTGCTATAATAACAAGTTGACAATGTTTTCTTGGTCACAAACTTTTTTCTTCTTTTTTGAAATTCTACTGGGTCATGAAATTCTCAAATCTGGGAACCACTGTATTCAAACAGCAATTGTCAATACTGGAAGGGCGCTTATAGGCATTATGCAAAGAAAGGGTCAAATAACATTGGGAAATGCTGTTTAGTGAGTCACTACATATATTAAGAAAGTAAAGGCTCTGAGAAGTCCTGTAATATGAGGTCCTGCTTCATATTATTTAACCCAGTGTTTAAAAAACTTTATTTGAAAATGGTACCTTTTCTTCCCTTAACATCTGGTAACTTTGGGGAACGCTACACAAGACTGGAAGGTTTCCAAGCCACAGTAGGATCTCATTCTCTCTCTTTTTTTTTTTTTTTTTGAGATTTTGTTTTTTAGAACAATTTAGATTTACAGAAAAATTGAGAAGAGAGTAGAGAGAGTTTCCACATACCCCACACCCAGTTTCCCCTATTACTAACTTCTTACATTAGTATGGTACAGGTGTTACAATTAATGACCCACGGATGATACATTATTAACTAAGGTCCATAGTTTTCACCTAATGTCTCTTTTCCGTTCCAAGAACCGATCCAGGATAACACAATACACATAACGTGTCATGTTTCTTTCCATATATGTCATACAGTTTCCCCTACTTTCCTTGTTTTTGATGACCTTAACAGTTTTGAAGAGTACTTGTCAGGCATTCTATAGGAAGCCTCTCTACTGGAATTCATCTGATGTTTTTCTCATGGTAAGATTGGGATTATGGGTTATTGGGAGAAAGACCACATAGGTAACGTGCCATTCTAATCACATCAGATCAAGGGTAGATACTACCAACGGGATTTATGGTTGTTGATGTTGACCTTGGTCACGGGGCCGAGCCAGGGTTCGTGAGGTTTCTCCTCTGTATACGTTCTCTCATCCTCCACGTGCTTCTGTCCTGAACTTACGGGAAGGAAGTCATTATGCACAGCCAGGTCTAAAGAGTAGGGAGTTATGCTCCTCATTTTTAACAGCCTTATTGAGATTCACGTACAATAAAATTCATCCCTTTAAATGTACAACTCAGTGATTTTAGTGTATTCACAGTTGTGCAGAAATCATCACTGTTTTATTTCAGAACAGTCTCATCACCCCCAAAAGAAACCCCCGTATACATCAGCAGTATTACCCATTTCCCTCGCCCCAGTCCCGGTCAACCACTAGTCTACTTTCCGTCTCTGCAGAGTTGCCTGTTCTGGACATTTCATATAAATGGAATCACACAATGCGTGGTCTTTTGTGCCCGGCTTCTTTCACTTAGCATAGTGTTTTCAAAGTTCATCCACACTGTAGCTGTATCAGATCATTTTTTTTTTTTGCAAAATAATATTCCATTATATGGATCTACCACATTTTTTATACATTCATCCACTGATGGACATTTGGGTTGTTTCTACTTTTTGGCTATTATGAATAATGCTCTTATGAACATTCATGTACAAGCATTTGTAGGAACACATGTTTTCATTTCTCTTGGGAATATACCTACAAATGGAACTGCTGTGTCATATGGTAACTCCGTGTTTAACATTATGAGGAACTACCAAACTGTTTTCCAAAGTGGCTGAACCATTTTACAATCCCACTAGCAACATATGAGGGCTCTGATTTCTCCATATCCTCACTAACACTTGTTAGTTTCTGTTGTTTTGATTCTAGCCATCTTAGTGGATATGCAGTGCTATCTCACTGTGGTTTTGATTTGCACTTCCCTAATGACTAAAGATGTTGAGCATCTTTTAATGTGCTTATTGGCCACTTGTATATCTTCTATTTGATTGAGAAGTGTCTATTCAAACCTTTTGCCCATTTTTAATTAGATCCTTTATCTTTTAATTGTTGAATTGTGAGAGTTCTTTATATATTGTGGATACAAGTCCCCTATTATACATGTGATTTGCAAATATCTTCTTCCATTCTTTGGGTTCTCTTTATTTTCCTTATGGTGTCTTTTGAAGCACAAAAGTTTTTAATTTTGATGAAGCCTGATTTATCTATTTTTAATTTTGTCACTTTATGCTTTTGATGTCACATCTAAGAAACCATTGTCTAGTCCAAGGTCACAAAGATTTATGCCTACATTTCTTTTCTAATAATTTTATAGTTTTAGCTCTTACATTTAGGTCTATGGTCCATTTTGAGTTAGTATTTTTGTATATAGTGTGAAGTAGGAGCCCAACTTTGATCTTGTATATGTGGTTATCTGGTTGTTTCAGTATCATATGTTGAAAAGACTATTCTTTCCTGAGAGTTGAAATGTCTTGGCATATTGTCAAAGTCAACTGACCATAAATGTAAGGGCTTATTTCTGGACTCTCAATTCTGTTGCATTGATCTACATGTCTATCCTTATGGAAGTACCACGTCTTGATTCCTGTAACTCTGTAGTAGGTTTTGAAATGGGGAAGAGTGTGTCCTTTAACTTATTTGCTTTTTCAAAATTGATTTGGCTTTTCTTGGTCCCTTGAATTTCCATATAAATTTTAGGGTCAGCTTGTCAATTTTTGCAAAAAAAAAAAGGCAGCTGAGATTTTGATAGGTATTGCATGGAATCTAGGGCAATTTGGAGAGTATTGCCATCTTAACAATACTAGGTCCTCTGACCCAAGAACATGAGATCTTTCCATTTATTTAGATCTTTAATTTCTTTCAATGATGTTTTGTAGTTTTTAGAGTAAAATTCTTGCACTTCTTGGGTTAAATTTATTCATAAGTATTTTCTTCTTTTAGATGCTACTGTCAATGGAATTGCTCTCCTAATTTCATTTTTGGGTTGTTCATTGAAGTTGTATAGAAATACAATGACTTGTACATAGACCTCGTATCCCGCAACCTTGCTGAACTTGTTTATTAGTTCTAATGTATATATATATATATTTTTGTGTGTGTGTGTGAGGAAGATCAGCCCTGAGCTAACATCCGTGCCAATCCTCCTCTTTTTGCTGAGGAAGACCGGCTCTGAGCTAACATCTATTGCCAATCCTCCTCCTTTTATTCCCCCAAAGCCCCAGTAGATAGTTGTATGTCATAGTTGCACATCCTTCTAGTTGCTGTATGTGGGACGTGGCCTCAGCACGGCCGGAGAAGCGGTGCGTCGGTGCGCGCCCGGGATCCGAACCCGGGCCGCCAGTAGCGGAGCGTGCGCACTTAACCGCTAAGCCATGGGGCTGGCTCTCTAATATGTTTTTTTGATTCCTTAGGATTTTCTATTGGCAAGATCATGTCATCTGCAAATAGAGATGGTTTTACTTCCTTTCCAATCTGGATGTCTTTTCTTTCTTTTTCTTCCTTAAGTGCCCTGGCTAGAACCTTCTGTGACAAAGGTGGACATCCTTGTCTTATTCCTGGGCTTAGGGGGAAAGCATTCAGTCTTTCACCGTTGAGTATGAACTAGCTGTAGGTTTCTCATAGATGCCTTTTATCATGTGGAGGAAGTTTACTTCTAGTCCTAGTTTGTTGAGCGTTTTTATCATGAAAGGGTGTTGAATTTTGTGACATGCCATTTCCTTGTCAATTGAGATGATCATGTGGTTTCTATCCTTTATTCTATTAATGTGGTTAATTACACTCACTGATTTTCATACATTGAACCAGCCTTGCATTCCTGGGATAAATCCTATTTGGTCAGGGTATATAATCCTTTTTACATCTTGCTGGATTCAGTTTGCTAGTATTTTGTTGAGGAGTTTTCCCTTTATATTCATAAAGGATATTGGTCTATAGTTCACTTTTCTTGTGATGTCTTTGTCTAGTATTGGTATCAGGGTACCAATGGGTCCTCATATAATGACTGGCCTCACAGAATGAGTTGGGATGTGTTCCCTCCTGTTTTATTTTTGGAAGAGTTTGTAAAGAATTGGTATTAATTCTCCTTCATGTGTTTGGTAGAATTCACCAGTGAAGACCTCAGGATCTGAGTTTTTTTTTGTTCTCATTCATGTTTGTATAATCAGTGGCCAGCAAAGACCTGGCTGGGTGCTGGGCACCTGTAAATAAGTGCTGGCCAACATGGAACATGAGGACTTTCTATTTCACCAAGACCTTGATGTGTTCATCAGACAGGTCTTCTGAGCACCTGCACGGACCCATTCTGAGGAATCACAAAGTAAGGTCGATCCCCCCTCCTCTGCAGTAGGAAGGAAACTGCACCCCCAGCCCTGGTGGGAGGAGGACACACTCACCATCATCCAGAATGACCAGCAGTGGAGCCAGGAGGTCACACATGCCCTGGACATAGCCGATCTCAATGTGTTGCCAGATGTAGCTAAGAGGAGACACAAGGGGTCCAGTGATGGCACCCACGACCTGCCTCTCCCACCCACTTCTCCTTTCCCTCCACCCTGGTTCACTCACTCCCTCAACCTCCTGCCTGTATCGCCATCCCCAGTCTCACTCTTCCATCATCCTACGCTCAGCCACCAGGATGGCCTTCCTAAAGTCCAGCTCAAGGAGGCCACTGCATGTTCAAACACCTTCACAGGCTCCCCACTGTGTGACAGGACAATGTTCAAACTCCTTAACCGGGGGTACACGGCATCCATACTCTCCTCTCAATCCATCTTCACAGCTTTACCCATCACTTCCCAGTACTTCTTCCTCTCCGGCCACACTGAGGTGTTTACCTTTGTACAAATAAAGCAACATTCATGTCCCTGTGTTTTTGCCCTAGCAGTTCCCTCTGTCTGGAATTCCCATCTGCCCCTTAATAATAATAGCTATTATTTACTGAGCATTTACTCTATGCTTAGCCTACTCTACAAGTATTGCATCATTTAATTCTCAAAATATTATTATCCCATTTCACAGATGAAGAGACTGAGGCACAGAGAGATAAGTGACATGCATCAAGTCATATACCTAATAATAAATGGCAGGGGCAGGATTTGAAACCAGGCAGCCTAACCCCAGGGTATGTGCTCCTAACCTGTATGCCAAATGGTTTCTTCACTTTCTCCTAATTTTGCCAAAGTCCAACTTGAAGGTCACCACCTCTGTGAGGCCTTCCATGATTTCTCCTGATGCCATAACCAGGCAAAAGTCAGTCTATCTTTCCTTCTGCCTTAGCATTTTTTCATTTTAGTGTAACATACTATATTAAAGTTAATTGTATTTGTATCTCCTAGACTAAATTTTGAGAGGCAGAGATTGCCTGGGAGACTGTAAGACAGAATAGTAAAGAGATGGTGTTTACTAAGAAGAATGAGGTAGACTGGGGGTTGGCAAACCTTTTCTGGGAGGTCCAGATAATTATTTTCAGCTTTGTAGGCTCTATGTTCTCTGTCTCAAGTACTCAACTCTGCTGCACCAATCGGAGATGATGTGCAAACAAATGGACATGGCTGGGTGCTAATAAAACTTTATTTACAAAAACAGGCCCGTGGGCCGTAGTCGTAGTTTGTGAACCCCCGAGTTAGAGTAGCCTGGAAGGATGCCCAGGATGTATTGCTGAGTGGAAAAAGCTGCTTGTAGAAAAACAGTTTATAGTGTCATCCCACACAGGTAAAAATTAAAAACAATATCAAAACGTGCATTCATATTATATTATGCAATATATATTATATAATATACTATCTATTATGTTTTATATATATATCATATATATACAGATGGCTTGGGAAGATAGTCATTAAATTGTTAGCAGGAGTCTCTTCTTCTGGGTGAGTGGCATTGATGAGTGGATATGGAAGAAGCTTCTCTTTACACCTTATAAACCTCTGATTTCCTTGGTTGATTCAGATTTTTAAGAAGCATGGGTTAGTATCATATTTTAAGAAATAAAATATTTAGCATTTAATGAAAAGTAATACGTAGAACCAGATCTTGGCTTAAAGAAATAAAGCACAGATTCTAGAGCCCGAGAGACGTGGGTATGAGTTCCCCCTTGGCCGCTGCCCAGCTGGGGGACTCTGAGCGAGGCGTGGAACCCCCCGAGCCTCCATTTCCTCACCTGTGAAAGGGGGTGATACTTGCTTCATAGGGGTGTTGTGAGGACAAAGTGGAATGATGTTAGAAAAGGGCTCGGGATAGTGCCTGGTATGCAGTCAGTGCTTAATAAATGTTCTCTACCATTACCATTACTATGATTGCTCTATTCTCGTCAGCGTGGGCTGGAAGAAGATTCACGGTGGGCATGGTGCCAGCTGCAGAGGCTGCAGTCCCAGCTGGCCCCCTGCAGCCCCCAGCTCTGCCGCCTCTGCCATCCCCTCCAGCCCCAGGGCCCCGCCCCGGCCACCTGCACATGACGTTGCGCAGCTTCTCCAGGTTGGCGGGCGTGAAGTACCAGTAGTTGCGATCGCACCTCTGCACGTCCTTCTCGATGCGGTGCAGGTTCACCGTGTACAGGTCCAGCAGCTCCGGCTGTGGGCCCCGGGAGGGGAGGAAAGAACAGTTACACCCCAACGCCTCCAGAAATGCTCTCTCCTCCTCCTCACCCCCTCCTGTCCTCACTGAAAAGAGCGGCCTCTACCCGAACCAGTCGGGTGTTTAATGTTGTCGTCATCGTTGTGTTCTGAGAAAACCTCTTTCACTTTGCAGGATGAAAATTCTTTTTATGTTTTTCCTTTATACAACAAAACAATCCTATGAGGTGCACAGAATTATTATCCCCATTTTACAGATGAAGAAAGTAAGAGAGAGTTAAAACTGTGGCTGGAAGGGCATCCTTCTCTGCTGGAAACTGGACGAGAAGAATGGAAGAATTGAACAGAAGTCCAGTTCTGGCAACAGGCTGGACAGGGCGCCTTGACCCAACAGTCCTGATGAAATGGCTCTACGATGGGGCAAGAAAATAAGGAACATTTAAAGGACAAAACTTGACCCAGAAAGGCAAGAAAATACCAAAGCTGGCTTTCGCCTTGAGGGAAGCTGCCAAATAGGGATTTCATGGTTGTGGTGCCCCCCTCCCAAGTAAGGAGTCTAAGAGGACTTTCCCACATTAAGGCAGAGCCCCAAAGAGCCACACCCCAGCAAGGGAAACCTAGAAAAAAAGACTCACATCCTGGGGTCTCAAGAGCAATTGCCCGTCTTGAATACATGTGCCAAATTAAGTGTAAAAGGTATCTCCCTGGATAACTAACAGCCTCAAATCAGGTTTATAACTTACGTAGGTTGATAACCAAAATTCTTACCACCTAGGCAGTCTGAAAGAGCAGAGAATTTATTTTACAGTGATCTCAGGTTGGTTATGCCCTTGGTTACTAGGAAGAAGCAGAAGAAAACTCTCTCTTGAGGAATCTGCCTTCCACCTGGGCCTCAAATAATGCAACAAAGTTCCAAGATATATGAGCTCAAGTTAAAAAATCACAAAACACTCAGAGAAAGACGTGGATAAACACCAGAGAGCAGAATCAGATCCACAAGGGCTTCAGGTATTAGAATGATCAGGAATGGAATATAAAATGTTATGTTTAACATTTTAAAGGAATAAAAAAAGAGATTAAAAATAGAGAGCAAGAGACTATAAAACAATCAAGCAACCATTTTATAGCATATTTGAGGAAAAGCCAAATAAAACTTTAAAAAACATATTGAAAACTTACTAGAGACCTGTGACAGGAAATCAGACACTACCAAAGAGAGAATTAGTGAATTGAAAAGAGACCTAAAGAAACTACCCAGAATCTAGCACAGAGGGACGAAGAGATGACAAAATGAAAGAGAAGCAATATACGTGGAGGATAGCGTGAGAAGATCTAACAAACATTTAACCAGAGCTACAGGAGAGAAAAAATTCGGAAGTAGCAACAGCTGAATAAAGAATACATGGGAATTTTTCAGAACTTACTAAATACACCAGTTTGCAGATGCATAAAGCCCAACAAACCACTAGTCTGAAAATAGAAAAAGAAATCCCCACCTAGACACATAATGACATACAATACCAAAAAGAGAATCTTAAAAGTAGCCAAACAGAAAAGCAGACGTCTTTAAAGGGATGACAATTAGATAGACGCCTGACTTCTTGACAGCAGCAATGAAATTCAGAGGATAATGGAATCCTATTCAAAGTACCGAGAGAAAATAACTAATCTAGAATTGCATATTCAGTGAAAATATCTTTCAAGAATGAAGGCAAAATGGAGGCCTCTCAAGACAGACACAAAATAAGAGAGACCTTGCTAAAGAGAATTCTAAGGAACGTAGTCCACACAGAAAGACAGTTATCTCAGACAAGAGCCTGAGACGTAAGAACGAATGACAAACAAAAAGTGTGAAGGCTACTGAGGTATGTGCTCCATGTAAACAAGGGAGTAAACTAAGAAACAGAGAGACGTGAGATATAGGAAACAGGAGAAAAGCAAAAGTAACCTCAAGATGATGATGGAGAATGACCTACAACAGCTTTCCATCAGGTTACACGGGCTGGGGAAGGCCAGAGGCTCCTGGAGGGAATTCTTTAGACACACAAAATGAGTAGAAAACCCGAGGTGTCTGCGTGTTTCACAAGAGACTTAGAAAACTGGCCAAGAGTTTGCAAGGGGTGAATTCATGATATATTTATAGCAAACTAAGAAAAAGAAAACAGACAAGAAAATGCAAACACATATAGGAAAACAATTGCTTTGCAGGAAAGAAAAAATAAATACAGCTTACTCCACAGTGTATACATTATATCATTATACTAATGTAAACACCGAATAGTCATTTAACTAAAATTATTATAACTATGTAGGATGGACGGAGATTGGGAAGGTTTCACTCGTGTGGTGAGGGCATGGTGGTGGGGGAAGGAAGAAGACTAAACCCTCGTCTCTCATAGTGGGGAGTCAATAGATAATGTCTAAAACTGAAGAAAAACGAAAAAAGATCAAGAAATAGCAATACGAGTATGTTATTTACAGACATGGGGTCAACACCAGATAATCTGGGTAACTGCTGTTGCCTCTGGGGGGCTAAATGGGAGTAGGGGGGGCAGACACCTTCTGGTTTTCGTATCCAGCCTTGTCTGAGTGTTTGACTCATTAAACTGGGGGCATGTTTATCTTCAACAGTAATAGCAAGTTCTTGAAAAGAAAATGGACACACGACACCTGGCTCAGAAAACGTCCCTTTTAGCTGACACCCTTTGGCTTGAATTTTTTGGCAAGAAAGTAAATTCGAATACTTAAAAGATACTGGACCCAAGCGTAAAGCAAGATGCTCTTCATCAAGGCTCCAGTGATCAAGTGCTCACTCTGTGCCAGGCACAGACGATCTGACTCACTAATTCTGAAAACAACACAGGAAGGAAGGTACTAGATGGGTGGAAACTGAGGCTTGGAAACATAGTGACATGCTTAAGCTGGGATTTGAACCCAGGACTGTCTGACTACAAAGCCTGTGTTCTTTAAGTATCATATTATCTTCTCTCCCAAATGGGTTTCTATGGTGTATTCCCCGTGATGGAGAAAACGCCGTGAACCAGAGGTCGTTCTGGGTAACTGAGGTTTATGGGACACCCCCACCCTCCCGCCGCTACAGAAAACTGAGTGGAGGAGAGTCCTGTGACTCACGGAGTAAGTGACGCCGCTAGAAGACACGGGGGATGCTTCGTTGTTGGCAGAAGTGGTCACGGCCAGAGAAGCCAGGGCAGGGAAGAGGCTCTCCATCTCAGGCTCCTCTGAGAGGTCGTCTTCACCATCCACCTGGCTACGCTTCTCCACCTCGCTGCCCGCCCAGCCCTCCATGGCGGCGCCCTCCTTTTCAGGCAGGGCCACGTCCATGCTGCCAGTGACGGACATGAACTCGTCCATGCTCTCGTTGGCGAGCAGGTCGCTCTCCAGGCTGTCCTGCACGGCCAGCTCCTCGCGGTGGGCCTCGTCCCGGGAAGTGGTGGCCTCGCTGCTCTGCCCGTCATCCACGCTGCTGTCCCTCGGTCGAACCATTAGGGGGGCGCTTCGCTGGGCATCCATGACACTGTCTTCCGTGCTCAGGCTGGGCTCCGAGTGCTCTGAGAGGCCCGAGGAGAAGTTGTGGGAGGAAGGATGGCCGGAGTCGGGGGAACAGGTGCCATTCACCAGGTTCCCATTGGGGATCTTGGGCTGTTTCTCCTCCAACCTGCCTTCTGCCTCCACCTGCTCCACCTCGTCCACAGACTCAAACACCTGAAGACAAAGTGCACAAAGACAGATGGACTAGGATGTCCACTGTGGTGCTGTCTCCAGCAGTAACCTAAATATCCATCAACAATGGATTGGTTCAAGCATGGAACACGCATGCAGTGGAATACTATATAGTCAGTAAAAAGAGTGAGGCAGACAAGGTAAAATACATGCTCCCATTTGTGAAAAATAAAAAAGTGACCTATATGCATGGAAAGGCATAGAATAATCCAGAAAGAACCTAAGAAGCACTGCAGTTGGCTCTGAGGAAGGGATACTAGGGAATTGAAGTGGGGGAAGAATATCTTTCATCATACAAAATTATGAGCACGTAATTCTTTTAAAGGAAAAAAATTAGTTAACAACATAAGAAAGAGGCTAAGAAAAGCATCCATGTGGTTGACTCTTATGGATCAATTTTCAAAAGTAGTTAGATGTATATGAAATATTATAGAAAAGCCTCCAGGACACATCTCAAAGATTTATTTGTGGTCCTCTGTGTCTTTAGGCCATATTCCATCAAGGACAGAACGTATAAGACCATATTCCAAGGTCACTTGAAATATTTCTTCTGTATGGTTACATCACCGACCTAATTTACTGTTAGTTTCATGTGTTTCTGGTTTTTATTTAAATTTCTTTTTGATTAAATGGCTTTAAATTATTTAAAAACTTTACCTAACTTAAGTCAAAACTAGAAAACAAAGTATATTCAGGGAAATGTAGCTTCTTTCCCTGCCTGTCTCCTCCCCGCAGGTAACCATTTCAATTAGTTTCTGGTCTGTCCTTCCACTGTTTTTGAAAATAGAGGCAAATATATGCACATATTAGTATTTCCTCTTTTTACACAAAAAGTGACATAGTATGCACATTTTTTGCACTTTGCTTTTTTCTTTAATACTGAGCGAGACAGAGTTAACATTTCTTTTCACTGAATGAAATGGCAAGTTGTTGAACAATACATATGATGGCATTTATTTAAAAAATTTAAAAAGACTATCGAACATTGCAATATATCTTCTACATACTCTCCACATATTTCACTGAATGTAAAGGCATACAGAAGGGTCTGGAAGGATAGACAGCAACTGATGATAGCAGTTATTTCTGGGGAGGGCAAGTGGGGTTTAGGGGTGGTAAAAGCCAAATTTAGCTTTCTCAGCAATATTTTAATATTTTTATGGGGGAATAGATTCATATATTACTTGTGTAACTAAAAACTCCATTTTTGATGCTAGTATAAAGAGCTAAAACAAATAAACCACCAGTGACCAGCAGAGGATGGACTTGCGCTCTCTTTACTCCAGGGTAGAGGTGGGGGGATGGGTGGGGAGGGGTGGGGCCTCCGGAGGGTCACCTGTGTGCCGCTGCTGGAGTCGCTCTGCAGGCGGATGTTCTGGCGGCCCGAACTGCAGCTCTGGGAGGACTGAGAGAAAAGGGCAGGAGGGAGCGGGTGAGGCCGCAGCCCTGCTCAGGGTCCCTGCGCACAGCTCAGGAGGGGCTGCGGGGTGGGAGTCAGCAAGTGTGATCGTAGCTCTCGTCCTGACCTGGGCAAGGCCCCTCTCAGGGCCTCAGCTCCCTATCTGTACAATGAAAGGGGGGGACTCACTCCCCGCTCCCTGGAGCCTCCTCCGAGGCCACCACCCACCGGGCCCCCCACCTCCCACCCATGTAACTAGCGAACCCCCATAAGTGCTCGGTACTTGAGACTTCCTGCTAATATTTTAGTTCAGCTCCGGGTGACTGGTGGCGCTATGGTCCGATTTTTTCTCCCTTCTCTTTTTGCCCTGTAACTTCTAGTTCCTGCCTACGCTGGTGCTAGGCTTACCCATGTGACCCGTTTCATCCAGTGGGATGTGAGCAAACTCAACAGGGCAGAGGCTTAAAAAGCACTTGTGCATTTCCCCTTTCTCTCTTTATGATCTGCTTCCACTACGAGAACACGCCCAGGCTCCCCTGCTGGATGGTGAGAAACATGGAGTGGAGCCGGGTCACCCCAGACGTGTGAGAGAGCCCAGCAAAGACCTACAAACCCTTTAGTCCACCCGCTGCTGACAGCAGGCACAAGAGTGAGCGGAACTGCCCGGATGACGCACAGACTCATGAGTAACATAAATGTTCATTGTTGGAAGTCATTGACCTTTGGGGTTGTTTGTTACGCAGTATTATTGTGGCAACTGCTGACTGATACATCACTGGGGATGAGAATTAACTTTCTTCTGAGCTCCTGCTGTGGGGTGCTAAACTGGAGGCTCTGTGAGGACAGACATGGCTGACTTGGTCACTGAAGCATTCCTGACATTCCGGGACATTCCTGACAGTACCCGGCACACAGTCCACATATTGAGGACGTGGTTCTCAGCAAGCATTTGTCGCATAAATGAAAGTCTGATGCTGAATGCTTAATACATAGTATCTCGTTTGAGCTGCACACAAATCTCCCCTATACAAATGATTGTTCCCATTTTATAGATGAGGAAACCGAGGCCCAGAAGTAAAGTTGCTGGCTTGAGGCCCCAGAGCTAGGAAACGGTGGGGCTGGAGGTCGAACTCAGGTCTGTCTGACTCCTAAGTCTGGCTCTACTGAAAAGCTAGGGGTGAGATGTTGTCCCAAGGCCCCAGACACCCAGCCTTCACCCAGCAGACCCTGGTCTTCCCGGCCCCCCTTGGCCCCTGGGGTGAGCTGCCCATTACCTCATTGCTGATGGTGGAGTCCCGGTGCATCATGCGGTGCAGGTGGCTGTCCAGGCTGGCCCCCGACGAGCATTTGGCCAGGGCCGCCGCATGCGACTCCCTCTCCCTCTGCCGCACGATCGCCTCGCAGCCCAGCCACTCGGCCATGGTCTGTGCGTAGCAGGCGTGAATCTGCTCGTCCACCTGCCAGGGCAGATGCAAGGTCACCCAAAGTGCCGGGACCCCTGCGGAGGGCCAGCCCAACCCGGAAGAGGGTGGCTGTGACCTGGGACCCTGAGCCCTGGACACTCACCCAACATTCATGGAGTCATATCCAACAAACATTAACTGAGCACCTACTGTGTGCCAGGCACTGGCTAGGCCCTGGGGACACACAAATGTGAGCAAGGCTACTTCTTTTTTTTTTTTTTTTGTGAGGAACATCAGCCCTGAGCTAACATCTATTGCCAATCCTCCTCCTTATTTCCCCCAAAGCCCCAGTATATAGTTGTATGTCATAGTTGCACATGCTGCTAGCTGCTGTCTATGGGACATGGCCTCAGCATGGCCGGACAAGCGGTAGGTTGGTGCGCGCCAGGGATCTGAACCCGGGCCACCAGTAGTGGAGCGCGCGCACTTAACCGCTAAGCCACAGGGCCGGCCCCCAAGGCTACTTCTTTCTTTCAATTTTTCCTTCCTTCCTATCTTCTTCTTTTATTCATTCATTCATTCATTCATGCATTCATTCAAATATTTGTTGAGCCTCTACCCTGTGCCAGGCAATGTACTAAACCATAGGGATACTGAAGTGGGAAGACTGATTCCTTCCTTTATTACCTCCCTTTTCCTCTTCCTCATTCATTCATTCATCCACTTGCTCATTTAATTTAATAAGTACCTACTATGTGCTGGGCACCAAGCTAGGCAGATGGGGCACAAGATGAGCAAGATGCTCCATTCGTCCATCCATCACTCACCAAACTGAGGGCCCCCCACATGCCTAACACGGGGCCAGGAGCTGAGGACATGACGATGAATGAAACTGACCCCTTCCTTTACTTACTGCAATGGCTTTACAGAAGAGCCACAGATTTCAAGCTTTTTCCTTGTGGGATATCGGTAGAGAGGTGGGGAGCTCACCTTGTTTCTGTGTGACACAGCCCAGGAAACTGAGGTGCTGAATCTTCCAGACCTCTGGGCACGAGTGGGGCAGACAAGCTGATTGGAGGATGTGGAGGGGCAGGAAGGCGAAGATAGAGGGCAGGGAGCTTGCCCCCGCCAGGGTTGGGAGGGGCGAGGAATCCTTTAGCTACTCAGGGCTTCCAGAGAGAGAGTCTGAGGCCTCCCTGCCCAAGGGCCTGTCCTGAGGGGCTCCCTCCCACCGACCTCCAAAGACCCATCGCAGCCCACCTCCCCATTCCCACTGCCACCTGAGGCAGACGACCCTCCTTCCCGGGGCTTGCTTGTCCCAGCCTGGCCCCTCCTATCCATCCACCACTCAGCAGCCTTCCTCCTTGCTTCCTCTCCAGCCCCACCTCTCACTGCTGCCCCCCAACCCTAGTCCTTTATGTTCTAGCCACCCACATCACCGTGCCCTCCCGCCCCTCCCCAACAAATGCACACACACTGCAGCATGCAAGTGTCTTCTCTAGGGCTTTGCTCCTGCCGTCCCCTCTGCCTGGAAGCCCTTCCTCACCCTCCCCGCCTGGAAAGCAATCCCTTCAAAGAATTCAGGTAGCCTTCTGCCTCCTATGTGCCCTTACAGCCCTGGGTTTGCCTCCATCTGACTTTGCACAACCCCCACTAAACCTCACCTAATGCACCTCTGAGTCCCCAGTCCCTAGCACAGGGCCCGGCACACCAAAATTCTCAGTTACTATCTACCCAGGAGCCCACCAGGTGTGGGGTGGCATGGAGGGGCCTCATGCTGGTACCAAGATGATTTTAGACAGTTCGCTGGCACGAGGCCTCATCATATGGACCCACAGTGTGAGACGCACTTTCAACTCTCCTTCAACTCTTCTGATTACACCAGGGAGGAAGGGCCAGTCTGGTGCTACTGTGTGTGTAACCCCTTCTTAACACTATATATATATATATATACACACACACATATATATACACAATACACTCTCCCTTTTTAGCAAAGAGAGACCAGGCTTCAGGCAGGCTGCAGGATCTAGGCAGAACTGAATTATATCACTCTGTCGTATTCTATTTATTTTTATAGTTTCCTTCTATTATGGCAAGTCATATTGGTTTTCCAGTGATGGCAGGGATATAAAATATCTTTTTAAGGGGCCAGCCCAGGGTGTAGTGGTTAAGTTCACGCACACTGCTTTGGCGGCCCAGGGTTCGCAGGTTCAGATCCTGGGCATGGACCTACACACCACTTATCAAGCCATGCTGTGGCAGGCGTCTCACATATAAAGTGGAGGAAGATGGGCACGGATGTTAGCCCAGGGCCAGTCTTCCTCAGCAAAAAGAGGAGGCTTGGCAACAGCTGTTAGCTCAGGGCTAACCTTCCTCACACACACACACACACAAAATTTAAAAAAAAATCTCTTTTTAAATAAGTTATATACATTTTTACTTAATCAACTTAAGGACAAATATTTAGTAAATAATAGCACAGGTGGTACACAGACATTAAGTGTAAAATACCACCGGATTTTGAAAACTTAGTATGAATAAAAGAATGTAAAATATCTCACTAATAATTTTTATATCGACTACATGCTGAAATGGTAATATGTTGCATATATTGGGCTGAATAAAATATACTATTAAAATTAATTTTACCTTGATTAAATGACATATAACTACACACACACACACATACAAACATACACCCGCACACGAGCAGATGCAAATACTGGCAAAATTCTAGTAAAGTCTGTAGTATAGCTAGTGGTACCATGGCAGTGTTAACGTCCTGGTTTTGGTTATGCACTTTAGTTATATAAGATATTTCCACAGGGGAAGCTGGGTGACAGGTACACAAGATCTCTGTATTATTTGTGCAACTTCTTGTGAACTTATAATTATTGCAAAATAAAAAATCTAAAAATATTAATTGCTTCTGTTTCTGTTTACTTTTTTTTGTGTGTGAGGAAGATCAGCCCTGAGCTAACATCTGCCATCAATTCTCCTCTTTTTTTGCTAAGGTGCTTGGCCCTGGGCTAACACCCGTGCCCACCTTCCTCCACTTTATATGGGACGCCGCCACAGCATGGCTTGACAAGCGGTGCGTCTGTGCGTGCCCGGGATCCAAACCAGCGAATCTCGGGCCGCTGAAGCAGAGCACGTGAACTTAACCGCTACACCACTGGGCCGGCCCCTCTGTTTACTTTTTAAAACGTGACTACTAACACATTTAAAATTACATATGTACTACAGTCATCAAGACAGTGTGGCACTAGCTGAAGATTACCTATTACAGTGTGGTATTTGATCAAGGGAACAGAACGGAGAACCCAGAAATAGACACATTAATATGCCCAACTGATTTGTAACAAAGAAGCAAAAGCAATTCCATGGGGGAAGGATAGCCTGGAGCAACTAGACGTCCACAGGCAGAAAAATGAACCTGGACCTAAATGACACACTAGATAACAAAAGTGAACTCAAGATGGATCGCAGACTTAAATGTAAAATGTAAAATGGTAACATTTTAGAAAAAAATTGGAGCAAATCTTCAGGATCTAGGGCTAGCCAAAAAGTTCTTAGACTTGACACCAAAAGCATAATCCACGAGGGAAAATTGATAAACTGAACCTCATCAAAAATTTAAAAATTTGGGGGCCGGCTTGGTGGCGCAAGTGGTTGGGTGTGCGCGCTCCGCTGTGGCGGCCTGGGGTTTGCCAGTTGGGATCCCGGGCGTGCACCAATGCACCGCTCGTCGGGCCATGCTGTGGCAGCGTCCCATATAAAGTGGAGGAAGATGGGCACAGATGTTAGCCCAGGGCCAGTCTTCCTCAGCAAAAAAAAAAAAAAAAAGAGAAAAAAAAAAAAAAAAAAGAGGAGGATTGGCAGACGTTAGCTCAGGGCCGATCTTCCTCACAAAAAAAAAAAAATTAAAAATTTGTTCTGTAGAAGACCCTATTAAGAAGATGACAAGACAAGGAACAGACTGGGAGAAAATATTTGCAAACCACGTATCCAACAAAGAATGAACATCTAGAGTCTATAAAGAACTCTCAAACTCAACAGGAAAAAAACAACCAATGCAGGTAGAAAATGGACAGAAGACGTGAGCTCACATTTCAGTGAAGATACGCAGATGGCAAGTAAGCGCGAGAAAAGACGTTCAATATCACCAGCCCTTTGGGAAATGTAAATTAAAACCACAGTGAAAAGTCAATTACACACCTGTCTGAGTGGTTAACATAAAAAATAGTGACAACATCAAACTCTGGTGAGGATGCAGGAGCGGATCACTCATACATCGCTGGTGGGAATATAAAATGGTACAGCCACCGCAAACGTTTGGCAGTTTCTTATAGAACCAAGCATGCGACCACCATATGACCCAGCAACTGCACCCTCGAGCACTGATCCCAGAGAAATGAGAACTTATGCTCACATGAAAACCTGTACATGAATGTTCACTGCAGCTTTATTTATAAGAGCCAAAAACCTGGAAACAATCCACCTATCCACCAACAACAGGTGAATAGTTAAACAAACCGTGGTGCACCCATACCTTGGAGCACCACTCAGCCATAAAAAGGAATCAAATATTGACAACTTGGATGGATTGCCAGAGATTTATGCAGAGCGGAAAAAGTCCATCCCCAAAGCTGACATATTGTATGATTCCATTTATACAATATTGTCGAAATGATTAAATTATAGGAGTGGAGACTAGATTAGTGGTTGCTAGGAGTTAGGGACAGGGAGGGAGGTGGGCGTGGCTTATAAAAGGCCAACATGAGGACCCTCATAGCACTGGAAATGTTCACTGTGTCAACTGTGGTGATGATATACCAACTTACACCTGTAATAAAATTGTAGCGAACTAAATACACACACACGCACACACACACACGAGTACAAGTAAAACGGGAAGTCTGAATAATATTGGTATATGGCGCCAATGTCAATACCCCCGTTGTGATATTGACCTATAGTTTTGCAAGATCTTACCACTAGGGGAAACTAGATAAAGGAGACATGAGATCTTTCTGCATTACTTTTTATAACTGCATGTGAATCTATAATTATCTTAAAGTAAAAAGCTCATTACAAAAAACGACGCCTGTGGCTTGTGTTGTATTTCTCTTGGACAGCGCTGTCCTCCAACTTCCTGGCTCCCCCACACCTCCCTGCCCACCTTGGTTCACCACGGGACCAGAGCCCAGCCCCGCCAACCTCGAGAGTACTTTGTTGCTTAAGACCCCACTGGCCAGCGAGGGTGACCAACCTCCTTCCTTTCTGTTTCTGTCATCCCGAACTGGTAGTGGCCCAGGAGGAAGGGCCACACGGCCTTGCGGATCTCAGGCTGGATGCCCCCGTAGTAGATGAGGCGCAGCAACTCCTGCTCCTCGTAACTCTGTGGTAGGTGGGAGGAAGCAAAGGGTTTGGTCAACAGAAAATCGGGGGGGCGGGGACTCTGACCCAGCAGTTCTGCTTTTCAGACCTAGCCCTCAGAGATCCTTGAGTGAGTGAGCAAAACCACATATACCTGGATATCCATTGCAGCATCATACGAAACAGAAAAAACCCAGGAACCCCCCAACTGTCCACTGGGGGAACAACGCATCCCTACATGGAAATGCCACACAGAGAGGAAAAATGGTGGGAGGGGCATCGATGAGAACCCACACAAAAAGATGGTCAATGTGTATTAAGTGAAAAAAAAAAAGGTTGCAGAGCATGTCTAGCGTGAACTCATTTTTGTAAAAAACAAAGAAAAGAAAGGCCAGGATATATTGAATTAACATTTCAACTTAATTTTTAGTCAATTTTGTGTAGCGTGCTTGTTTGGGAATATTATCTTGAAGTTATTAATCTTGACTCAGCTCTAAGAAAATTGTTTTAAGGCACGTCGATCAAAAATGAACATTTCCAGCTGGTTCTTCATACACTAATAATTTTTGTGCACACGAGGATGACTTTAACAACTGTTTGCTGTATTGCAGAATAGATTTGTCCTCTTTTTTAAAATTCATTTTCAGGTAAAGGCTTTGCAGTTACCATTAGTCAGACTGGGTGTCCTATCTGTACGTACGTATGTGTGTGTGTGCGTGCGTGCGCGGAAAGGGCCAGTGGCTGCTGGACGGCTACTCTGAAGAGCACTGGGGTCCTGTGTGCTCTCCCCTCTTTATTTCACATTCCAGAATTAAAAGCATATTTCACATTTTGATGCTAGTCTTAGATGCACCCAACCACAATGGCAAAATCAGCCATTCTTTCACCCCTATTGGGAATTTTGATTTGCATTATATAGACATCCTCGTCAAAGCTGTTTAAAAATCAGAGAACTCTTTGTGGCTGAGGCTTCAAACTCTGCATCAAAAATCCACTTCCTCTCCTCCCAGAGCCCACAGCTGGACTCCATTTCCCAGCCTCCTTTGCAGTCAGGTGTGGTCATGTGACTGGGTTCTGGCCAATGGGATGTGAGAGGAAGTGATGTAAGCCATTTCCAGGCCAGGTCTTTACAGAAGCAGGTGTACTCCCTTCCCACTCTCCATTTCCCCTCTGCTGGCTGGAAGCAGATGACCACGAGGCCCTGGAGGATGTGGGGCCACAAGACTGAATGACCTTTGAACCTCTGGAGGGAGGAGAGAGGTCCACTCACCAGGAATGCCCGCCCAGGACTGTTAAGTGAGCAAGAAATACATGCCATGGTATCAAGCAACTGAAATAGCGGGGACTATCTGTTACTGCAGCTCAGTCTACCCTAATACAACAAAGCAACCACGAAGGGTGAAAACGTGGCCAAACAGGTTGTGAGAGGGTTGCAAAAGCGTGAGATGAAAAATACTCATTTTTGACTAATTTATTGTTTCAACCAACTTGTCCTTAGACTAGTACCTCCCAAATTGGGGAGATCACCAGAAGCCCTTGGGGGGACTTGCAAAAAAATGCAAATTGTTGGGTTCCACTCCCAGAGACGCTAAATCAGTAAAGCTGGAGGGAGCCCAGAAGTCTCTGAATCTTTTGAATTCCTCCAGAAACTTGCCCTCTCACAGACCGACAGGATTATGAACACGATGATCTTTTGAGAAAGTGAGCTGGCATATCTACTTAAATTTTAAATGCACATCAATCAATTTTCTTTCTAGGAATCTACCCTCGAAATAAAAGCACTAGTACAGAAAGGCATGTGCTTATAAAGATGTCGACCGCAGCACTGTTTGAATAATTAAAAAAAGAAAAGAGCCCAGATGTCTATCATTAGGGGAAGATTTGAATAAATTATGGTCCACTCATATATGAGATGCTAAGGTTCTTACATTCAATATTTCACCTAGAGATTTGAAAGATGTCCCTGATATAAAAGTAAGTTGGCCACTTAAATTACAAATATAACATAGCCTCATTTAAAAAAATACGAGTTATAGATATAGATATATCTACAACTGTATAGTTGTAGGAAATGTATGGCAGGGTCTACCCCAAACTGATACTATTTTTTATCTCAGGGGATCAGGGAAGCAGAGAGATAATATTAAAAAATTTTTTATTCTATACATTTGCATTCTCCACTCTTTGAATTTTTATAGTAAGTGTTCATTCCTTCTGTAATTTAGAAAAACAACTATTTTTGGCAAAAAACTAAAACAACCCTTCTACTTGGACAGGTTTGGGAACCAGTTTGTTTTACCCACCAAGTCCCTGGTGTTCCCAGATTAATTACAGGATAGCACCTTCCGCCAACGTGGGGAAGTCAGCCCGACCCAGGTGCTCCCCAGTGTGGCCCTCTCCAGGGCCTGGCCAGAAAGGCACCCAGCTGACTGAGCCACTAGATTTAACCAGTATGGAGGGAACAGGTATCTCCTCTGAAGGCCTGCTCTTGGCAGCAGGTAAACTAGTGTTTCTCAAAGTGGGTTCTGCCTTCCACCAGCCATGGGAGGTACTTTTCCAACAAAGGTCCCTGTAGCCAAATACATTGGGGGGAATGGTCCATATGCTCTCCACATTACCCCAATTTCTTGACAGCGACAAGCATATTAGCATAGCCAAGTTTCTGACAAGTCCTGCAGCATACAGAAAGCTATTTAACCTTGTATCCCAAACTATTTGATGATGAAATTTTTATCAAACATAAACATTTTCCTTCCAGGGACATTTGCATTCTTAGAAATCCATCTCCAGGTGAAAAATCTAATGGTAGAATTCTCAGGCCCTACGACAGAGATGGGACAAAGAGTTTTGAACAGTGGTGGGGTTTTCTTGGTCCAGCTGCCCCCCTCTCACTTAGCTTCTCTTGTCATTCTAAGTACATAGTTTCAACTGGACTGTGAATTCCTTCTGGCTGAGGACTCACAGTACCTCCTGCAGGACTGAGCATACAGCTGGTGCCTAATAAATGCTTAGTGACTGCTTCTTTCTTTCCTCCTTCCAGGTGAGCATATGTATTTTCCATCCTCTTTGATCTGCACCCCAATGGGCAGAAGCAGACAGTGGGTTTTGGAACACTCAAGAAGAGGAGGGGGCCTTCAAGGATGTCACAACATCCTTGAGTCCCCACAAGCAGGTGGGTCTGTTCTTCAGATGATAAGATGCCCCCCACCCCCTGCAGCGGGGCCAGGCCAGGCCAAGCCAAGCCTTACCGTGCTGTCCTGAAGGTACTGCTCCCAGATCCCGGCCGTCAGCCCGTGTCCAGCATCGCAGGGCACGTCTGGAGACACGATCATGTGATTGACCAGGGCAGACAGGTGGGTCCTCACGGTGGAGAGGTGTCTGCAGTAGGCAAGCCCTGCCCGCGGAGGGGGGACAGTGTCATCGTCCACCACCCAACACCCCTCGCCCTGTCTCACGGAGGCTCCAAAGTGCTGTCCTGTTTGTGATCTTATTGAAGCCTCAATGACCCAATGAACTCTCGTCATCTCCCTTTTCCAGACATGGAAGGTGAAGCTCCAAGGGTGAAGTCACCTGCTGGCTTATATCCTAATAGCTGTGACCCTGCGGAAGTCCTATCACCTTTCTCAGCCTTGGTCAGGGTGACGCCACCTCCTCTGCTGGAAGCCAAGGCACTAAATTCACAGGCTGGAGGCAGAGGAGGGGCAAGCAGGGAGGGGCTGGTGACTCTGGGCTCACGTGCCTCTGGCGCCTCCAGTCCACGTGGAGGAAGAGAGCAGGAGAGGTGGATGACTCTTGTTAGCTGCAGCTGGGTAAAGAAGCCCCGCCAAGTCAGGAACCAGGAGATGCACCCGGTCTGCTCTCAAAGATGGCCCTGCACTCTTACAGGAATGCCCGCCTGCCTGCCACCCTTCTCCCGCTCCACTGTCAGCACCTGAGGGCACAGCACCTGGCACACAGGAGGCACTCAGCAAATACCACCTGTGTTTGCCCTGACCATGCCCCTTCCCTCTGGCTCTCCCCTGTCGTCTCATTCACAACTCCCAGAGAGGACTCTGGACCTTGTGGAGCCTGAAGACTCATCCTACCAACCATGGGGATAATGGTGATGATGATGATGATGATGACGACAACGATGATGATGATGACAATGATGGTGATGATGACGACGACAGTGATGATGCTATAATAGCTAACATATCTACAGCACATACTAAGTGGCAGGGAGCTGTTCCCAGAGCTTACAAAACTTAACTCACTTAATTCTCACCACAATCCTATGGAGCAGGGACTCTTATCATACTCTTATCTATAAGATGGGGAAACTGAGGCGCAGACTGCTTTCATCACTTGCCCAGATCACATCGCTGGGAATTATGGAGTTGGGGTTTGAACCTGAGCCACCCGGCTCCAGAACCTGGGCTCTCAACCACCACCAGGGATGAGCCACGTTGCGGGACGACATCACTCAAGACCCATCTTGGTCCCCTCCCCTGCCTCCAAGAGGCTCTCCACTTGCGTTCCAGAAATACTTCCCAATGCCTGCTCCATGCCAGGCCCTGTGTCAGGCACTGAGGATGGGTGGTGACAGAACAGATAAAAACCTGGCTCTTGAGGGGCTCACCCTCTCCCTGCCTCTCCAGGTACTCAGGGAAATGACCTGCACTGTTTCGCAAGCCCATGCAGGATCTATTAACACTTTTCTAGAATCCCTGAAAATACACATGTTATATCTCCCCCATCTAGGCTGAGAGGCTGGGGAAATAAAACCTGTTAAGAATCAGTACAACAAAGTGGAAAAAACAGAGCCTTTGCAGTCAGGCAGGCCTGGGGTTGAGTCCCAGGTCTGCTGGTTATTAGCTGTGTGACCTTGGGCAAGTCACTTCACCTCTCTGTGCCTTAGTTTCCTCATTTGTTAAATGGAAATAGTCAGAGTCCCTGTATGATGAACTTAATTTTTAAGTTCTTGGGAAGGGATCAGCCACTTTATTCTTCTGCTTCTGTCCACGGGAGAAGGGAACTGGCACTTAATGAGCACCTACGACATGCAATGCTAGGGGCTTCATAAATGCTTCTCATTCAATCCTGAAAACAGACCCTCTGTGCTGGGGATGAGATGTTGATTAAATCTCACCCCTGCCACCAAGGAGGCCCATTGTTCACTGCCCTCTCTTAGGGCTGAGGGATACAATTTATCGTCAATCTGTAGATGAGGAAATTGAGGCTCCGAGAAGTTAACATAACTTCACCAAGAGTAGACATCTAGGAAATAGAGCAGCAGGGGTCCAAATGCCAGAGCCAGGCCCCTTCCCCTGATAGTGCTCGCATACAGTAGGCACTCAATAAATGCTCCCTGGAGACCACAATGGCAAATAAGGCCAATACGCACATCCATAGAAGGCTCTGGAGAGGATCTGGTACTTCATATTGTCACAGAGCAGCTTCAGGGGGGCCCTGCGAGTGGGGGAAGAAGCAGACACTTAGAACAGACCCACACGCAGTCCTGGTTTCCTGGAGAGGAGCACAATCCGTTATCTCCAGGGAGGAGACTAAAACCAGCCAGGCAAGGGGACTGGGGAGGTATTGTTTCTACCCATACAGCATCACCGCCCCTTCCGCTATTAGCTTGAGAGTCACCCCCTCCCCAACCCTCTGTCCCTATGGTTTGGGTGGCTTATTCTACCTAGTACCTGACTCAATCATAGTGATTGGGTCAGAGGTGGTCATGTGACCCAACCTGGGCCAATGAGAATCAGCCCTGGGACTTTTGTTGAAACTACTGAGACACATACACTCTTTTTTCTGCTTGAGTTTCTAAGCCGGTGGAATACAGGGCAGTGGCTGCTGGATCCATTTTTGCCACTGCATAGGAAGGGTCTGCCTGAGAATGAAACCATCACAGAGGAAAGCAGAGCCAAGAGCAGAGAAACAGAGACATTCCTGTTTTGAGCATCTGGATCCAGCCATGCCTGAAGCCACTGCACCTCTGGACTTCTCAGTTCTGTCAAGAGATTTTCTTTTTTACTTGAACCAGCTTGAAGTGGGTTTCCCTCGCTTGCAGGAAGAGTTCTGACTTCTAAAGTGACCCAATTGAACCAAACTGAGCCAAACCAGGATTCAGAGTCTGGCTGACTACAAAGTAGGTGATGCCCTAGAACTTCTCCTTGCGTGGGAATTTTGGGGGGCTTTTATGGCTGAAAGAGGAGGGAGGATTAAGGCTCCAGCACTGTTGGAGAAAACAAAGACTGCTGAAGGGAGTGTTGTACATTCTTGCAAAGACCGGGGGCGGGGGGGAATATCTGCATATATATTCTCAAGATGTCCCAGGGGACAGCCAGGAAAATCCAGGGAGACAGAGGAGGAGGCGTGGCTGAAGTCCTCCAGTTATGCACATGGACGCATTAAACATTAAAGTCGCCCTCTTTGTGCCCTCAGATTCGTGAGGCTCAGGCTGGCTCAGATTACATAAGAACAGCATCACAGTGACAGCTGTCCCACTGTGGACTTGGCTATCTGTAAGTGACGGGCTACCTCCTATCGCTACAGGCGTGTAACCAGATGCTATGAGAGGGGGTACTATGTTAGAACAGAATTTTTCAATGGTCTTTGGACCACCAGCCCAAGAATCACTTGGAATTTCTCCAACACGTGGATTCTCCAGCTCTGCACAGACCTGCTCAATCAGGACCCCTAGGAGGTAGTCCAGGAACCAGTAGGGTTTGCTCCCTCCCTCAGGTGATTCTGATGCACATTAAAATACGAGACTCTCCAATTACATCAGTGCTTCTTAAACTTAAAAGTACACGCAGGATCTTGGGATCTTGTTGACTGCAGATTCGCTTCAGTAGGTCTGGGATGAGGGACTCAGGGTCTGCTCAGGTGATGATCTTGCTGGTCCACAGCCCACACGCTGAAAGCCAGGGCTTAGCTGACTTCAAAATTTTGGTGCCAGCCCCCACCCCTTGCACTCCTATGACTGGACCACCCAATGGGACAGAGGCCCAGCAAGTTTAAAAGGACTCCATTCTCCCAGGCCAGGCTGGGCTGCATTAGTGGAAAACAAGCCCAGTCTCATCAATTGTCTCAGTGGTTCTGAAGAGACAAAAGCTCTATGGGCAAGGAGAGAGACGAGCTGGGGATTTAACTTTATACAGTAAAATAATAAGTGTAATCTAGTGAACATTACACATGCTGGCCACTTTAAACCATTCTTTGATTTGTCATTACAGTAGCTATATGAAGTAAGCATTAGTATCCCCATTTGGTGGAGAGGCAAACTGAGGCATGTATATTAAGTAATGTTTCTGGTTTCTGCCTTCCAGGAGCATGGTAGATTGCATTTCCTGGCGCCTTGTGGGTGAGGCCAATGAGTTGTGAGTAGAAATGACATGTGCCATTTTGGGACTGGAGCATTTAATTGTTGGGCCAAGTCCCTCCAGAGCTGCTGTTCTCTCTGTCACTGTGACTGGCAACATTCAAGATGGCAGCCATCAGCTTAATGTGGAGAAAGCAGAGCCCCCAGCTGACCCATGATAGACACATAGCATGCGTGATAAATAACCCTTTGTTGTAATGAGCCACTGAGATTTTAGGCCTGTTTGTTACTGCGACATAACGTTGTTTATCCTGACTGATACATGTAAGGAAGCCCCAACAGCTAGGACTTCACAGGACCTGGATTTAACCCAGACCTGCATGATTCCACAGCCTCTGTTCACTCTTCTGAATTCAGTGCAGGGCAAGAAATGGGTATCTCTAAATCTTTGGTAAATCCTTCAGGTCCCTCCTTCCACAGCTCAAGCCCCTCATACCTCTCATGGTTGCAGCCGTTGGTTGAGCCACCATCGCCTGAGCCGCTCTGTGAACAGGATGAGCAGGAGGATTTCCGGGGGCTGGGTTGCCATAGAGATGGCAGGTTGCTCACGGAGACATCCATCAGGTCCTGGGGGACTGTGGAGGACAGAAGGGGCAGAGGAAGAGCCCTGGTTAGGCCTATGTGGGTCACAGAAACCTCTCCCCAAAGCAAGCAGCTCACTCCCAGGCCAGCACAGGGAGAGAGAAAGACCCCAGATGTCACAGTGGGAAACAGTGACCACAAATCATTGTCCGACCCAGGTCTTTAAACCCACCTGTTCCAATGAAAGCCACCACCAAGATTTGGGACCCCCAGCAGATGGGAAGAGCTGATGACAGCCGAAGAGAGAGGGAGAGAACAGAGAGAAACCAGAGCCAGGAAAACAGGCCCAATCCCAGAGTAGGAGGCCAAGCCTCACCATGTTGTCATTCAGTTGTCCTCCTAGGAGTTTGGCAGGAAAGAAGGGGACTCTTTCTCTGGGTGAGAGAGTCTCTGGTGGTGAGACAGAGGGGAGCCCGACTCCACAGGTGAGGCAGGGAACCCAAGGGCAAGAGACCCAGTGGAGTTCTCCTGATGGGGTCAGGGGACACCTGCACTGTCCGTGGTCCTGAGCCCTACAGCTGCTCCACCAAGCAGGTCTCAAACACATTGGTGAGCCCCCAGAATCATGTTGGGGGCTTGTTAGAAAGCCGTATGCCTGTATCCCACCCCTGACCTACTAAATTAAAACCTCCCGGAGATACAGCCCTTGAGTCTGTATTTCAAAAACAACTTGGAGATAGCAGTCATGTTCAAGAACCAAGAGGATACGACTGATCTCCCAACTCTTGGGCATTGGTGACTCCTGGTCAACTGCCCCCAGGATACAGCATTTATAGTGTCCCTAATTGTTTTCTTGCCCAGCTCCATGGGAAGCACAGCATCTGCCACACTGCAGAACAAACACATTGGTGACATAGGCATTATAATTTTTATAGTGAACTTCCTGGCCTCTTGGCAATTCTAGACAGGTGCAAAAAAATTGTTTCCTCCAGGGCAGGGCTTAGTAAATATTTTCCATAAAGGGCCAGGTAGAAAATATTTCAGGGTTTATGAGCCATTGGGTAGCAATCATAACCACTCAACTCTGCTGTCATAGTGCAAAAGTAGCCATAAACCAAATGCAAACAAATGAGCATGGGTATGTCCTAAGAAAACTTTATTTATGAACACTGGAATGTGAGTTTAATATCATCTTCATGTCACAAAATATTATTCTTCTGATTTTTGCAATCATTTAAAAACATAAAAACCATTCTTAGCTCGTGGGCTGTACAGAATGAGGCTGGATTTGGCTCGTGGGCCATAGTTTGCCAAGCCTTGCTCTAGGACATTAAGAGGGGTGCACATATGCCCCATATGCCATGCCTCCTCAAGGATGACTGGTGATACCTGGCCTCTTCCCTCGGGCTCCAAGGGGAAGGGGAGTTGTGGACCCGGCCCCACTCATCAGAGCTCGGTAGCTGACAGGGTCCACTGCTACCCACTGACAGAGTAGAAAGCTGCCTACAGAATGAGGTTCTAGGGCTGGCCCCGTGGCTTAGCAGTTAAGTGCGTGCGCTCCGCTGCTGGCGGCCAGGGTTCGGATCCCGGGCGCGCACCGACGCACCGCTTCTCCGGCCATGTTGAGGCCGCGTCCCACATACAGCAACTAGAAGGATGTGCAGCTATGACATACAACTGTCTACTGGGGCTTTGGAGGGAAAAAATAAATGAATAAAATCTTTAAAAAAAAAAAAAAAAGAAAAAGAATGAGGTTCTGGGGGCCACCACAAGTGGCTTGTTACACTACTCCTCCTCAGACAGACTCACCAATGAGCTGGCCAAGAAAGGCCAGTAAGCCCCTGTAACATGCTCTGGAAAAATGTCCCCAGTTCTTAGGCAATCTCAGGGAAGCACCGATCAGTTGCACCCAGGTATGGCAAACAGGCCCCCACGCCCGGCCCCTCACACCCTGCAGACATCACCAATCAATCCCTTTGCTGCTGAACCCACCACACTCCAAGCTGTGTCCTGCAGGCGGAGGCTGGACAGCGTGAGGACATCAATTTGTCTCCCAAATCCATCTTCCCCGGGACCAACACTCAAATGACAACATGGCAGAGGTGGCCAGCACCCAGCCCCGGGGGTGGGAGGAGCCCAGACATTACTGGGGGGCTGCTGCTTCAGGTTCGGCATGGGGAGGATGGCGTCCCATCTGGCTTGTGCCCACCTACTGCCCCTGGCCACCACCAGCACGGACTGGCCCACAGGAACCACCATCCAGGCAGGGCCCATGGAGACAGCGGAAGTGCTGCCCAAGGGGTCGGGAGCAACTTAAAAGACAAAATAAAAAGCATCAGTGAAATGGAAGGTCTAAGGTGGGTGGAACATTGAAATAGCCAGAAGAACCAATTCCTGGAGGCTTGAACCTTTCCCCTGCCCGCCTCCACACAGCTCCCACGTATTGTGTTTGATTAGAGGGAGAAAGAATGCTGATATTTATCAAGTGCCTAACCATGTCTACCTAGGCAAGATAAACAAAAGAAAAAATAAACAAACGGGACAACATCAAACTAAAAAGCTTCTGCACAGCTAAGGAAACCATCAACAAAACGAAAAGACAACCTAACAATTGGGAGAAAGATATTTGCAAATCATAAATCTGAGACGCAAGTAATATCCACTATATAAAGAACTCACACAACTCAACAACAAAAAAACAAACAACTCAATTAAAAAATGGGCAAAGGATCTGAACAGACATTTTTCCAAAGAAGATATACAGACGGCCAACAGGCACATGAAAAGATGTTCAACATCACTAATTATTAGGGAAATGCAAATCAAAACTACAGTGAGATATTACCTCTCACCCATCAGAATGGTTATTATTAAACAGACAAGAAATAAGTGTTGGAGAGGATGTGGAAAAAAGGGAACCTACATACACCGCTGGTGGGAGTGCAAACTTGGTGCAGCCACTATGGAAAACAGTATGGAGATTCCTCAAAAAATTAAAAATAAAAATACCATATGATCCAGCTATTCCACTGCTGGGTATTTATCCAAAGAACATGAAATCAACAATACAAAGAGATTTATGCATCTCTATGTTCATTGCAGCATTATTCACAATAGCCAAGACGTGGAAACAACCTAAGCACTCATCAATGGATGAATGGATAAAGATGTGGTATATATACAATGGAATACTACTCAGCCACAAAAAAGATGAAATCGTGCCATTTGCAACAACATGGATGGACCTTGAGGGTATTATGCTAAGTGAAATAAGTCAGAGGGAGAAAGTCAAATACCACAGGATCTCACTCATAAGTGGAAGATAAAAACAACACACACACACACACACACACACAGATACAGAGATTAGATTGGTGGTTACCAGAGGGGAAGGGGGGAGGGAGGAGGGGGAAAGGGCTGACAGGGCACATGTGTGTGGTGATGGATGGTAATTAGTCTTTGGGGGGTGAACATGATGTACTCTACACAGAAATCAAAACATGATATACACCTGAATTTATATAATGTTATAAACCAATGTGACCTCAATAAAAAATAAAATGTCCAAAAAAAGTGCCTAGTATGTGCTGGGTGCCACACTTTGCAGGGGACTGCCTTATCAGCCTTAATGACCCCGTAAGGGATGCATTTCTTCTCCCATTTTGCAGAAGAGAAAACTGAGGCTCAGACTGATGACACAACTTCATCACCCAAAGCCCCACCAGGTAGGAACTGGCATAGCTGGTCTTCTTGACTGACGTGCCCCCTTCTCTTTCTACCACCAACAGCTATCACTTACTGAACACAAGTACTATCATTATTCCCTTTTACAGATTAGGAAACTGAGGCACAGAGAGTTTAAGCAGCATGTCCAAGACCACCCAGCTAATAAGTGGTGGAGCTGGGATTCCAACCCAGGGGATCGGACCCCCAGATCCTATATTCATACTCAGCTGTTCTCCCCTTGGCTGCTGTCTCTCCATACCATCCTTGCCTTAGACCGCTGGTTTTCTACTTGGGCAATTTTGGCCCCCCAAGGGACATTTGGTGACGTCTGGAGACATATTTCGTTGTCACAACTTGAGGATTAGCCAGATGCTACCAACATCCAGTGGTAGAGGCCAGGGATGCAGCTCAACATCCTAAATTGCACAAGACTCGCCCCCATACACACAACCACTCAGGCCAAAAGTTAACAGCGCTGAGGCTATGCAACCTGCACTAGACCAGCACCGTCCAATACAAATACAAATCAAGTCATCTGCATCATTTAAAATCTAGTAGCCACATCAAAAAGGTAAAACGAAACGGGTGAAATCAATCTCGACAAACTATTCTGTTTAACCCAGTATTTCCAAAATGGTATCATTTTGACATATAATCAACATGAGATTATTAATGAGATATTTTATATTCTTTTTCTTCTGGACCAAGTCTTCAAAATCCAGACTGTATTTTACACTAACAGCACATCTCCATTTGGACCAGACGCATTTCAAGTGCTCAGGAGCCACACGTTGCTCGGACTGTCATCCCAGAGAGTAGAGAGAGAGTCGCAGCCACAGAGGAGTCCAAAGTGCCCTTCTCTGACTGTGAGCCTGTCTGAATGCTCTAGAACTTGTCTTCGCCTCCTCTGGGCACAAGGGGCAGGCAAAGACCCAGGTGGTGGAGACAGAGGTGAGAAGACTCTGAAAGGGAGTTGAGAGCCATCTGTGGCCACATCTTCCCTCCCACGGGGGGAAACTCTTCTCTCTCATTATTTAAAGCAAGCATCTGCAAACTTTTTCTATAAAGGGCCAGATAGCAAATATTTTTGGCTTTGTGGGCCCTACGGTCTCTGTTCCAACTATTCCCCTCTGCTGCTGTGGCGTGAAGGCAGCCACAGACAATATGTAAATGAATGGGTGTGGCCCTGTTCCAATAAAACTTCATTTACAAATACAGCTGCCGAAGGCTGAATTTAGCCCAGAGGAAGGGCTCTGAGGATTTCTGATTTACGCACTTTTTCAGAAAGGACTTCAAAGATGAAAAGCACAAGTGTAAAGATTGTCTTTTGTTAACTCTGTGAGGCTCAGGCCCCTGAGGAAATCAACCAGGGACAGGGAGTCACCATTTCCATGTGGGCTGAATCTGACCTTGACCATGAAGGACGTGGAACCACCATGCCCTCCTCCACTCCGTCAAAACAGTCCGCATGGAGTGGTTGTCGAGGCACCAGCTCTGGAGCCAGAACACCCGGGTTCAAATTCCAGCCATGCCAAGGATTAGCTGTGCAACCCTGGGCCAGTTTCTGAACCTTTCTGTGCCTCAGTTTCCTCCTCTGAAAAATGGAGGATGGCGATGACAATGCACCTGCCTGGGAGGGCTGTGGCGAGGATTAAATGAATTAGGCCACGGAGAGAGCACAGAAGTGGGCGTGGCACACAGTGGCACTTAATACACGATACCTACTACTGCTCATGGAGCATCTGTCCAGTGTCACCTTAGGCGTTTGAAGTATCATCGCCCTGACTCCTCAGAATATGGTCCTGGGAGGGGGTGCTGTAATCCCCATTCTACAGACAGAGGCCTGGAGAGGGCAAGTCACTGGGCCACATTGTGGTGGCAGACTTGAATGCAGGGACATGTTCTTTTCTCTAAACCAGCAGTTCCCAGCCAGGGGCAATTCTGCCTCCAAAGGACATTTGGCAATGCCTAGAGACATTTCTGGTTGCCACAATGTGGTGGGGCATGGGGGTGGGCTTTGCTACTTGGTACCTAGTGGGTGGAGAACAGAGATGCTGTTCAATATCCTACAATGCACAGGACAGCCCCCACCACACAGCATTGTGCCATGTGAAATGTCAGTCGTGCTAAGCTTGAGAAGCCCTGTTCTAAATAAACTGATTTAGCTGGGGTTTCCTCAAAGGCAGACAAGGATTCAAGTGCAAGTAGTTAATATGGGAGGTGTTCCCAAGAAGCATGGCTAGGGGAGACAGGAAGACAGAGTACCAGGTTAGTTATGTGCAAGTTACCACTATGGGCTGTGGGAGACGTGCAGAACACACATTCCAGAGTTTTCTCACCTGAGGGGTGAGGGAGCTGGGGCCTTTATACACCGACTCCTGTCAGTCATTGGCTGAGGAGTGGCCCAGGGAGACACTGGTTCCCTGACACTTCTAATCCACCACACCTTTGGGCAGAAGGACCCTGGCAGCTGGAGAAACCCCCCAGGCAAAGACACAGGAAGGCTGGGAGCTGGCAGTGGAGCGGGGTGCACAGAGGGCTGTGGGTGGGCACAGCTGGCGTCTGTTCCACTGGCACCTGCAGAACCACAACAGGCTAACACAGATATTCTCCAAATCAGCAAGACATCCAGCCCCCAGCCCGGCTTCCAGCAGGAGCCTGCAAATTATTTGTTGGATGTGCCCTGTGGAGAGAGCTGCCTGGGAAGGCAGCCACAGGCATCTGGCCCCTCTGATGAATCAGCTCTCGGGGGGGCTGTGTGAGCCGTGGTACCGCGGACAGGCTGGGATGGCTCCAGACCCTGATCCTAGGCGGGAAGGAACCCGGTAATGGACACCTCAGGACACTCCTCATGACGCAGGAACACAAGGCTGCACTCCTAACTGCCCTTGAAGGAATATAGGTGTGAAAACAGGCTAATCCAAGCAACACGAGAGCTCACCACCAAGCCTGCTCCGCACCTCAGACCCGACTCAGCGATGGGCGAGAGGGGGGGCATTAAGCGGCCTGGCACGATTAGTCCAACCTCGCCAGGGTGGACGTCTGCTTTCAGAGAGCCTCTCACTGCCCAGCTGTGGTCACTGAAGCAAAGGGCAGCTCAGAGCCATTACCCGCCTGGTGGGAACAGCAGAGCCGCAGAGGCTTAGATAAAACGAGGTTAACAGAAGGAACCTATAACTTCATATTGATTTGTTTAACAGACAGCCACGCAGGGCTTAACAGATGCCGGGCCTCCTCCTGAGAACTTTTCAAATATTAATTCATTTAATCCTTGTAATAAGCCCACGGTAATGACAATCTTAACAGTACCCGTTTCCATTAACTAAGCATCTATTTCACGGCAGTTGCCACGCAAATTGTATATCATCTCGTGTGCCAGCACTGCGTGCCTTGCTTCCCCTCTGCTGTTTGACGACCACTTACTTGAGGGCCTACTGTGTGCAAGGCCTTAATTTATGGCTTTACACTGATCACCTCATAATCTTCTTGAATCCATACAATAATGTATTGAGGTACAATAATAATAAGAACAATATAATAGCAGCTAACATTTGAGTGTTCTGTGCCAACTGCTGTATCTTATTTAGTCCTCATAATGACCCTACGAAATAGGTGCTATGAACATGCCCATTTTACAGATGAGAAAACTGAGGCACAGAGAGGTTAAGTGGCTTGCCCAAGTTCCACCAGGATTCCAGGGCCCACGTCACTGCTGCTACCCCACGCCACCTTGCCCCCAGTGGCATCTTTATTAGCTAAGCAAAGAGTGGTTATTGGTTCTCATTTGGGGGAACCCGAGGCCGCCAAGATACTAACTTCCTGATTCCAGGTCCCCCCGCTGGCCCCAGACCTCTTGTCCTCCAGTTCCAAACGCCTGGAGTCGTTTTCAGGATCGGCCCACAGGCGGATCCCTGGGGCCCAGGGACAGGGCAGCTTACCGAATTCCGACTGCGTGCTGGGGTAGATGATCCTGAACACGTAATCCGTGGCCTCATCATCCTCCTTGTCTGAAGACGTGGACTCAGCGGACCCCTGCGGGCTTCGCTTGCGCAGTCTGGGAAATACTTTGCCCTGAAAGTACACGTCCCAGAGCACGGTCCCCGGGACACACCTGTCCCTCCAACCTGCACAGCCTGAGGGTCTCGGTGGGGCGTGCACGAGCTCACAAAGCCACAGAAGGGCCTGTGGGCAAAAATGACACTCCCCGTGGCTGATCCCACCCCGGCCTCCCTGGGCCCCCATGGTCACTCACCTTCCCCCGCTGGGACCAGAGCGGCGGGTCCAGCTGCCCGTGAGGGAGCAGCCCATTCTCCAGGCACGACAGGAACTGCAGGAGGTGGCCTCCCTTGGGGAAGCGGAAGGGCGGCCTCTGGATCCCGTCCTGGCTGACCAACACCACCGTCCCGCCGCTGTCCACTGCCACCGCGAGCCGGCCAGAGGAGACCCAGTGGGAAGTCACTATGAGGCACGGTGACGGGCCCTCCCGGCAAACACATCCCCCAGGCATGCGAGCCAGACCCATGGACCCGCTCCCTCCAAGGCTCTGAGAGAGGCCTGGGCAGAAGGTCAGGGGCAGTTTTGACCTCCCAAGTCCCCCTCATCCCACCTGCCATCATCGTTGACTGGGGAACTACAGGACAAGGTCAAGGAGAGTGTGTGACCTCCCTGAAGTCACCCACCAAAGGAAAATACTGCCCCAAACACTCTATGCCCCTCGGCACCCTCCACAAATCTACCTGACCTATTTTTGTATGGAGGCTTTCCGACCTGCCCCAACTCTGGCAAGTTGACTCTCACTAGCATGTATTGAGCACTTACTGTATATAAGCACAGCACGTTAAAGGCATTGTCTAATTGTAATACTCAAAATAGCCTTCTGAGGCATATCTATTATTGCCTCTTTTATAATTGATGAAACTGAGGCCCAGAGAGGTTATGTAACTCCCCCAGGGTCACACAGCTGGTAAGTGGCAGGGCCTGGACCTGGGTCTCTCTCATTAAATAAGTTTTGTGCCTGGGTGGGGCACAGATCAATGCGTTCTAAAGCAGGGTGGCCCTCTGCTTGTTCAGAATATACCTTCATTGAGCTTTAAAGAACAACTCAGGTTATTAATCCCAGGTCCTCAGAGCACCAGCTTTGGAGTGACAGAGACCTGGGTTCAAGTCCAGGTTCTGGAGCTTACAGGCGGTGTGACCTTGTGCCAAGCTGCTTCTTCACCTGTCAAATGGGAATGACGGCGCCCCCACCACTGGGTGGTTGTGACGATTAAATAACAAGCATGCAAATATTTAGAACCAGGCTTGGTACATCGTAAGCACTCAGTAAGTATCAGCAACTAACACCATGGGTTTGATGGTGAGCCCTTAACATACGTCATCTGATCCTCACAACAACCCCATGAGAGATGCTGTTATGATCCCCATTCTATAGATGGGGAAACTGAGCCTCAGAGAGGTGAGGTCACTTGGTTGAGGTTACACAGATAATAATAAACCCCCAGCCCGAGCTCCCCCCCGCGGTCCCCACCTTGCTGGTGGCAGTGTAGGTAGACGATCTCCTCCAGGCGGATGGTCATGGCGTAGTCCCAGTACACGCTGGAAGGGGAGGGAGGGTTAGGCCTGCGGGATGCCTGCCCACCTCATCATGGGGAGGGCCGAGGAGGCCAGAAGAGGAGGCCCACCTGTTCCCAACATCCAGCTCCCAGTCTTCCCAGACTCAATCTCCCCTTCTGACCCCAGCACCCCAATTTCCCAAGGAACCCCCTCTTTTACCCCCAGTCCTTGTGGCTGAGGCTGACCCCACCCACCCTCCAACCCAGGACTCCAGGAATGGCCATCTGACCCAGGCCTGGCCAAGCAGCCTAGTCCATTGTTCTGGCCACAGTGATTGGTTCAGGGATGGCCCCATGACCCAAGCAGAACCAATGAGATTCAATTATTGGATTTATGTTAGAATTACTGGGGAAGAGATGCTCGTTTCTGCTAGGAGGGTAGTGGTAAGGATGACAGAAGAAAAAGCCTGCCTGAGAACGGAGTCACCAGTCAGGAAAGCAGAGCCAAGAGATGGAAAGAGTTCAGATCTTCATTATTCAAGTCCCTGGATCCAGCCATGCCTGAAGCCACTGCCTCTGGATTTCTCAGTTCATGTGAGCAAATGCTAAGTCAGCTTGAGTTTGGTTTTCTGTCACTGATATCTAAGAGTCTTGACTAACTCAGACCCTAACTCCAGGCCACCACGTGTCCATGTTGGAATAGCCGCTCAACAGCCTTGACTTCACAGGTCCTAGCAGAGTGACTTGAAGGCTTCTATGAGCCTCAGTTTCCTCCTCTGTAAAATGGGGATGATAACAATACCCACTGCATAGTGTTGCTGTGAGGATTAAATGGAATCACATCTTTGAAGGGGTCAACACAGCACTGATATATAAAACAGGACTCAGTTAATGGTCCCTGGATTACTTACCTAAGATTTTCCATTTCCAGCTCAAAGCCCACCTCTGTCTTGAAAGAGATTGCTTTTCCCCTCAGAACACAATGAGAGGTGGGGACCACAGCCATTTGGGTTTTGCAGCAGCCACGGGGATGCACTGCTCTGGTCCCCTTTGGGAGACCTTGCCGTGGGAAGCAGAGTTGACCAAGAGCTTCAGAGGCCACCGCTCTGGATGCCACCATGTTTGTGCCCAGGCCACGCTTCCCTCGGCTGTTCTCAGGCAAGACTGAGCATGTGGGGGAGCCAGTGCAGGCCTATTCCTGGGGACAGGGGACTCCTTCAATGGTCAACTTTAGCCCAGGGACTCTCAAATTATCTGGCCAAACGTTCTCAGAACTGCTCTGTGTCTGAGACTCTTCCTGCCCAACCTCTCTTCCTTCTCGCTTTCCCTTCACAGGGGTCAGACCAGCTTTGTGGTCTGAAGGCTTTCCCTGTCTCCTCACTTCCATCCTTCACAGGAGCCTCCCCCACTAAGTTTCTCTGCACGCCTAATCCTCTCTTGGTGTCTGCTTCTCGGAGGACCCAAACCAACACAGGCTTCAAGGTTAGACAGGCCACCCACATTGAACCAGCCCCTCCCCCTCTCTGGGCCTCAGTTTCCCTAGCTGTGAAATGAGGAAGTTGGAACAGAGGCTCCCAAGGGCCCCTCCTGCACTGGTCTGTACCAGAATCAGCCTCACCAGGGTCCACGGAGTGTATGTCCTAGGAGGATGGTCAAGTACACAACACAAGCGTTTTCAGAGCAGCGGCCTCCGCCGAGCCCTTCACACGCCGACTCTCGGCCAGGAGGTCCTCCCTGGGCACCCACATCGTGCCCATCACACAGGGCTGCAACTGCCTGTGTTCTCCTCTGTCTCCCCAAGGGCTGCTGAACCCCGGAGAGGGACTGGGTTTTGTTCACTTCTGTAAGATGCTCAGAGAATGTTCAAGTGAATGGTGAATGCCGGGCTCCAGGATGCCCAGTAAAGAAGCAACTCTCCAGCCACCACCAGACACCAGCGAAGAGGAGCTCTGTGGCCACAGTCCCTTTGGGTCTGTGTTAACTAACACCAATGGCCCCCATGGCTGAGAGGCCTGTCCAGGCGCCAGGCTCCCTGCTAAGGGCTTTACATGCATTTTCGCATTGAAACCTCCCCACATGTCTATTCAGAGGTTCCATTACTACATCCCCATTTTACAGATGAACAAACTGAGGCTCAGGGAGGTGAAGTAGATTGTCCAAGGAAGGAGCGAGAGCTGAGTTTCTATTTTCCTTTTCCAGGTTTTAACAGCTTCCTAGAGTGGAATTTCTAGGTCATCTGGTGAGGGTCATGTAAAAAACTTCCAAACTGGTTTTTAAAGTGGTTATACCACCAGCAGCGTATGAGGGTTCCAGCTGCTCCGCACGGCAGGGCTGAGATTGGAGCCAAGTCCAACCTGCCTCCAGAGCTCAAATGTCCACCTCTGTGGTGATATTTCCTCTTGAACATTAGGATACCCGGCTGGGAGTTACGGTCCTGGTTGTGTAAGAGGGAGGGCTGGCTGGGAAAAGAGAGAAGGGGTCCTGAGCTGCCTCCAAGGACCACCTCCCTTATCTCCACTGTTCCTTGGTCCTCAAGGGGAGGCTGGAGCCCCTGGGTGCCCCGCCTCGCCGCACACATTTCTGACACCTGGCTGTTCCTCCTCCACTGGGCCCTGGTTCCAGGCACAGGTAACAAGGATAAACGGAGGTTCAGAGCCCAGGGCTAGGAAAGTCCCCGGTCCCACTGGCAGTGACCTTGGAAGTGCAGATTCAGCTGCAACTAAATATGGAAGCTCCTGAGATGAGCCTGCTCACAGAGCAAAAGATGATGCAGAAACAGGGAGTCCCCGACAATCTGAGCTGGAGGAGGGGTGCTGGGCAACCATTCGGTCCAGTGCCGCTCCCAAAACACTAGCATCCAAAGTTCTCTGCCCATACAATCCCGGGCTTAAGTCCAACCAACACACAGGGTCCTCGGGCAGTGGAAAGCTTTTTCATTTTATTTTTGTGTGTGTGTGAGGAAGATTAGCCCTGAGCTAACATCCGTGCTTATCCTCCTCCTTTTGCTGAGGAAGACCGGCCCTGGGCTGACATCTATTGCCAATCCTCCTTTTTTTTTTTTTTTAACCTTTTTTCTCCCCAAAGCCCCAGTAGATAGTTGTATGTCATAGCTGCACATCCTTCTAGTTGCTGTATGTGGGACGCGGCCTCAGCATGGCTGGAGAAGCCGTGCGTCGGTGCGTGCCTGGGATCTGAACTTGGGCCGCCAGCAGCGGAGAGCGTGCACTTAACTGCTAAGCCACGGGGCCGGCCCATGTGGAAAGCTTTGATGGTTGGCCAAAGACAATTCATTGTTTGAGGAGCCCCTGTAGACCCTTGGGAACCCTTGAGTTCTGGGGAGATCATCTTGTCCAAGCCCCTTGACAGAAGGGGGAAACTGAGGCCCAGAGGGGGGGAGTAATGCACCCTAGGTCACCCAGCGAGGTAAGGGCCGAGCAAGAACTTGGTCCTATGACATATACTTACCCATTTACTTGATAATTCATTGTCTCCTCCAGCATAATGTAAATACAACGTAAGCTCTGAGAAGGTAAAGACTCCTCTCCTTCTATTCATCTATGTCTCTTGTATCTAGCACAGGGCCTGGCTTATAGCGGGTGCTCAGTTAATATTCAGTGAATGACTCCAGGTTCCCTGACCTCCATGCTCTGTTTCACAAAGATTATCTGAGCACCTACTACGTGCTCGATCTATGGCAGGTGCTGGGAGAAGATGTGAGCAAGACAGGATCGTGCCTTCATGGAACTGAGGTCCGGAGGGCGAGGCGGTCAGTACACGAGCAGGTACAGATCTATGATGTGACTACGATTTTGCAAATGCCACAAAGGAGATTCAGGGCTCCATGTGGGCCGAACTCAGCCGGGAGGTCAGGGAAGGTCAGACACCAAGGTTTCAGATGAATGAGCGGAGATGAGGTTCCAGCCCAACAGCATCTCCTCGGCCCTCACACTGTTCCTCTGTGAGCGTCTCTTGTTCAGAAACTCCGGAGTCTGGCTGCAGCTGAGTTATCTGGCCCAGACTAGGACCGACTGCACCTCCCACTGACCCTCTCCGAGGACAGATGGCAACCTCTGCACAGGAAGTGACCAGCTCAGAGAATGGTATTCATCGCACCAAGGCCTGGTGTCAATTGCACTGAAGCCATTAACATTAATTTAACATTAAACAGAACACAGTAACAGTGTTCTGGTTACGTTCCTTGGAAAGAGTCTCTCTGCATAGATGAAATCCTATGATGTGTGCACGCTGCTACGGAATAACATGTAGGGCAGAAGGATGGCTGGATGGCTATGAAGGCTGGGTGATGGGTTCTCGAGCCTTGTCTATTTTTATGTTGGAAATTCTTCATGATAAAACGTTTTTAAGAAAGCAAGAGAATGTAAAAGAAAAATAGGATGAGACATAGACTCAGAGCAGCAAAAACCATCGCTTCTCCTCCGCACCGGCTGCTGAGACGCCTCCAGCTGAAATAATCAGGCCGGCCGCACCTCTGCACGGTGGCTTCCATTTGTCCTTCCTAAAGCCTTCCCTAAATGGGCTGGAACACAGGGGATTGCAGCAGGTATCGCTGGTCCCTGTGTTTCTTTGGAGCCTGCCTCCAAAGCCTTTTCTGGGTCTTGTAAATCGCAGGATGTCACAGGAGATGCGGCCCTGGGCCAGACGCCCACCAACCAACAACTCCTGCCTGCCCTTTTCACCAAGTGATGGGAAAGGCGGCAGCAGATGGGGGCATATTTGCCATGGGTGGGCTTACGAGATCTTTGTAAAGCTGTCTCTCTGGGTGGTGTTTTGAGTGGGGCTCTGCCTAACTCTTATATCCTAAGATTCTCCCAGTCGGTTTCCGGATCCTTCTGAGTCCTGAGTTACCCTGAGGCCACAGCGGCAGGGAGGCTGGGCCAAGTGGCTGTACCAACCAGAGCAGCGGGCAGAGGCAGGGCACAAAGGACGGGGCACAAACGTCCCCGTGCCGAGGGGAGGGTCCCGGGGGACGCCCTACCTCTTCTCATAGTCCAGGTCTCCCACAGACCCGTTCATCAGCTGGTTGGGCGTCCACTTCAAGGTCATGACGTCCGCCGTCTGGTGCAGGGACAGGTACCCCGGCACAGCTTCCATGTCATCCCTCTGCAGAGAGAGGAGGACTCAGGCCTGGTTGTAGTCACAGTGGCCAGTCACAGTGGACGGGGGCCCTGGCCCATGTGACTCAAGGACACATAACCAGAAGCAAGAGGTCATTCCCTCCAAGGCCACGGCCATTTGGGAGACCCTGAGCCTCCTTCCAGGTGGCCACGCTAAGCAACGCTGTGTGCAGTCACCCACCCAGGAGGGTTCTATAGAGTCCAGCGGTGGAAGCCACCCACCCCAACCCCTTCCCACTCACACACTCACACCTCCCTCCTGAGGTCCAGGGCCCCCGCTGCAGGGGCCGGGCCGGGGGGTCTTTAGATCCAGGAACAGGCTCTGTCCCTCTCAACCTCACCCTCTCCTTAACAGAAGGCATCGTTTTGGCCAGTCTTAAGGGAAAAAGAAACGGCAGCAGAGCCCCATCTCCCATCCCATGGACATTATCCAGAAGCCCCCTCCCTAGATACCCCCACCACACTCCCCACCCAGCAGCCTGACCCTTTGCCTTCCACAATTTCCCTGCAGAGCGTCTCACCTGCTCTGTCTCATCCCTGGTGGAATGTGGTGGAGGGGGTGTCTCCAAGCCTCACACACAGAAGAGGCAGCCTCTCCACCCACTCCACCTCAACAACATGTGGAGACAGACAACTAACATTTACTGAGCACCTAGTGTGCAATCAGCATGGCTCAACATCACATACATCGTCTCGATTTAACCACACATGCCGGCCACCCCGTGAGGGAGCACCATTGCAGTATCTCATCAATGCTAAGATGCACATTTGTTTTTCGCATTTCAATGCACCTAAAATGGGGATGCATCTTGTAATCAGCAGCATCTCACAACTGTAGCTGTCATTGCCTGATCTCGTGCAAACTCTGTCACAGCTGTTCCTATTGTGATTTCAGTTAAGTTTTGTGCATGGTTGTTACTTCGCATGTGGAGTACAGGTGCTACTTTAAATGCCTTCAAAAAGGTGAGACTGTGATTCAGCTTTGATTTGAAAAGTTGTTGCGTACATAGAAAGGCTGGGAACAGAGCAATGGAGCACTGACGTGATACTGGTGAAGCAGACACATTATTCACCACTGCAGGAAGCCCACAGCTCCAGATTTTCTCGCAAAGCAACAAGAAGTGCACACGCCTGCAAGAAATGTCGCACCTCCCGAGCTCTTGATCAGAGGTCGGCAAACTTTTCCGTAAAGGCTCAGATAGGGAATAATTTTCCCTTTGTGAGCCACACAGGCTCAGTTGCAACCACTCAACTCTGCCATTGTAGTGTGAAAGCAGCCATACACAATGTAAACGAATGGGCACGGCTGTGTTCCAATAAAACTTTATTTACAAAAACAAGTGGAGGGCCACAGTCGGCCCACGGGCTATGGTTTGTTGACCCTTTCTCTTGATGCAACAGAAAATGATGTTAGGTGGAAAAATAGGGACAGCGATGACTCTAAGTCAAAAAATGATACAGAAGATTGGGTCCTGAAATGTGAAGAAGTTTTAGGACTATCTTAACTAATGTATTTCAATTATTTTTTCCCTTGTGTATACTTATAAGAGTAATGTATGATTTAAAAAAAAACTATATCCAATGAAGTCTCAAAGAGCTCTTCCAAAAAATGTAAAATAAAATTTCCAAGTAGTGAGAAAACACTGTATATAATTTAATAGCACTTTTTATTTCCTGATGGTTTTGTTAAAAATGGTGCATCTTAAATTCGTGGCTTCTTAGGCTGAGGAGAGAGGGTCTTGTACCCATTGTGATGCCGATACTGAGGCTCAGAGGGAGAAGCGACCTTCTCAGGGTCACCCAGTGATTGCAGCTGTGACCAGAGAACTGGAGTGGCCGACAGCTCTCCGCTGCTTCCTTCCAGCTGAGCCCAACACCAGCTGACCTTAATGGTCCCAGGGAGGGGACAGCAAAGGAGATACCCCATGAGGGTAGGGGCTCTGTGTGCCTCACTCACCACCACCCATCCAGGGGCCTGGCCCAGCGCTGGGACAGAGAGGGTGATTGGTAAATGGCACAGACTCTGGCAGTGGTTGGCCTGAATCCAGATCATAACTCTGCCCCTTACTCCCCCGGTCTGGGCCTCAGCGCTATCATCAGTGATAATACTACTTGCCTCAAATGGTTGTTGTGAGGTTTAAATGACTCAGTACAGGTAAAGGGACTTAGCACGGTGCCTGCAACATAGGAAGCGCTCAATAAATATTAGCCGTGAAGATGTTTATCCTGATGCCTTAAGCATCCAGTGTCTAGCAGGTTCAGTAAAAATGTCTGCTGAATGAGTGAGCCATAACAAGAGAGAATGGATAGATGACTAGGTGGACACGTGGATGGATAGATGGACTGGAAAATAAACGGACAAATGGATGGATGGATGGATGGATGGATGGGTGGATGTAAAGATGGGTAGATGGATGAAAGGATGGATGGGTAGGTGGATATAAACACAGGCAGGTGGATAAAGGAATGGTGGGTGGATGCATGGATAGAGGGACGGGTGGATATAGAGACTGGAAGGGAGTTGACTGGCTGGCTGGCTGAGCTATGGATGGATGGAGGGATAGAAGGAAATACTGGCATATAGATGAATGGATGGAGAGATGGAAATATTGGCAGATGAATGAATGATGGGTGAGTGGATGGATGGGTAGATGGATGGATGACTGACTGGATGGGCAACCTGGAGCCAGAGGGAACTCCTCCTCCATAACCTGGAGCCAGACCTCAGCGGAAGATCAGGGCCCCAGATGAACTCTCACCGGCTGAACCAGAACGTTGTTCTTGCCATAGAGCAGGGTCGCCCGGGAGTTCTGGTGCAGGGACTCCACATAGTCGCGTGCAGAGAGGGACGGCCGGTCATCCATGCTGCCACTCGAATGCCTCTTCTGGATCTGGCAGTGTGAGGGGAGGTGGAGGACGAGGCCTGGAGTGACCGTGAAGCTCCCACCCCATTCCCCGCCTCCATGCCAAGTCCAGAACCCAGCCTAACTCCCTCCCGGGGCCCCACCATCCACCCCACTCACACAGAGGGCTGGCCGCTTGGTGGGCGAGTCCTGCCGCAGGTGCGAGCTGTGGATGCGGTGCCTCTGGACAAGCTCGTCGGCCGAGGGGTCAGTCCAGAAGTGATCCGCGGTCTTCATCTTGGTGTACTCCAGGGCACAGGGCCCCACTGTGGGGCAGACGGGGGCTGGGAATCTACAGCCCCGGAAAGTCCGCCCTCCCGTCTACCACCAGATGGGCCACGCATTTCACTGCCCCTCCCGTCCAGCCAGCTAGGATGCCCCAGGGAGAGACCAGAACAAGACCCAGGAGCAAGCGACAGAGAACAGGTAGGTTTTGATGGGGGAATCTGGATGGAGGTGAGAGAGGCCCTCAGGAGGTGCCCCTGTGAGCCAAGACCAGAGATCCAGATGAAGCTCAGAGCACTGGACCACCTACCCAACAATGATGCAAGGATGGGGCCGTCCACAGGGTCCATCAGCAGAGCTTCCTTCTCATAGTATTTACTAGCGAGAGGAAAGGACATGCGGGTTAGGATGGTGACCAGCAGAGGGCACACAATCCACTAGGGCCTGGCCTTAGGAGCAGACAGACTGGGTTCAAGTCCCTCTTGGCACCCAGTTCCCTCTGGGCCCCCGCTGCCCCATCTGTACAGTGGATGATAATCTTATATTCATAGGGCTGTCGGAAGGACTTTTGGGAGAGACCACAGATGTAGGGCACTTAGCACAGTGCCTGGCCTGTAACTCCTCCACACGTGGCTGCGATATAGGCTTCATGAGAGTAACACGAACGATCATTAGATGGCGGCTGAGGCCTGGCTGGTTCTGTCTGCTTCTCCCACATCTTCCATTTCAGACGGGAAGTCGCTTAGAGGCCCAGATGATGTCTGCGCCCTTCTAATATCATTGAGGCAATAAAATGCTTTTTTAGCTGTGGTGTGTACCGAAAAGCTGTATTAACAGGGCTTCCTGCCCGGATAACTAATGTGGACGATGCTGGCCTGACACGCTCAAAAATGCCCCCTGACTTCCTGCTCTTCAAAATAATGCGTGGGGCCGTCATTATACAATGTTGGTGCTGAGGGTTTTGGAGTTCTGTGTGGTGGTTTCCAATTCCTTGAAAACTCATACAGTCTAGAAACAGGATAAGAATATCAGTTGGAAAGGACCTCATTCTGACCTCCTGAGGGATCTCAGGCCCAGGGAGGGGAAATGACTTGTTAGAGGCCACACAGCAGGCAGATGCAGGCTTGGGCTACAGCCAGCTGGCTGGGCTCTTCCCATCCTACAGCAGGGGGTGAAGAACACAGGATCTGCAGCCAGACAGACTGAGTGGGAGCCCAGCTCGGCCACTCCCTCCGTTGCTGTGTGTCCCTGGGCAGGTGACTACCCTCTCTGAGCTTCGTGTCCTCAGCTGTAAAATCGGAAGAAGGCCAGAACCCGCCTGCCAAGGTCGCTGGGAGGATTAAAGGTTGACCTGCATGGATAGCAACAGCACAGCCTGACACCAGGAAGTTCTCCCTAAACGGCAGCAACATCACTGTAATTTTCCCCCAAGGAAATCTTCCACGAACCAGAATATCGGCCGGAGCAGAACTTACACGCGCTGGACGTGCTCAACATCAAGTTTATGCATTTTGGTGTCAGATCTGAAGATAATACTTTGCGACACTTTCCACTCCACCACTCAGTTTCCATTCCAAAAATCAGCAGTTACCTGATCCTAAAGCTTGGAAAGGCTGTCAAAAAATAGCACGTAGAGGGGCCGGCCCGTGGCGCAGGCGGTTAAGTGCACGCGCTCCTCTGAAGCGGCCCGGGGTTCGCCGGTTCAGATCCCGGGCGCGCACCCACACACTGCTTGGCGAGCCATGCTGTGGCAGCGTCCCATATAAAGCAGAGGAAGATGGGCGTGGATGTTAGCCCAGGGCCAGTCTTCCTCAGCAAAAAGAGGAAGATTGGCGTGGATGTTAGCCCAGGGCCAGTCTTCCTCAGCAAAAAGAGGAAGATTGGCAGATGTTAGCTCAGGGCTGATCTTCCTCACCAAAAAAAAAAAAAAAAAAAAAGCATGTAGGGTTGGGAGCAAGATGTGACTATGAAGAGCAGCCCAAGGGAGTGTCTCTGGGGTGAAGGGTTCTTTGGAACAGTTCTGTATCCTGAGTGTGGTGTGGGTTACAGGAAACCATCCGTATGTTAAAATTTCATAGAACTATGGAGCAAACAACAATAAAAAAATGAGTGCGTATAAACGCTGTGAAATCCAAACACAGTTTAGTTGACAGTATTATACCAAGGGCAGTTTCCTGGTTTTGAGACTTGAACTATGGTTATGTGGGATGCCCTCATTGAGGGTGGCTGAGAACTCTCTGCACTCACGTGGCAACTTCTGCATGAATCTAAAATTCAAAGTTTAATGAAGAAATAGCAGGTTGGCATTGCTGCCCAAATAGATTACTAATTCCTTTTGGCCGACTTATTCACCAGGAAAACACAGAGCAGCAGCTAGAGAGGCTCTGGACCCATACCAGGGCAGGGGCAGAGACGGGTTACCATTTACTAGCAGGTGAGGAGGTTAACTGGAGCGCCAGAGCCTGGATTTCTTTCAGTTCCTCTCCTGCCTCCGGGCCTTTGCACCTGCTGCTCTCTTCACTGGGAATACTCTTTTCCCCATCCCCTTCACCTGGTTAATGCCTACACGCCCTTCAAATTGAAGGTTAACTGTCACCTCTTCCAGAACACTTTCCCTCATTACCCACCAGTCTTGGAACACATCACAAATTATCACAATTACTATTTGCCTGTTTTCCCTGCTACAACGTGTGCTTCATGAAGGGAAGGACTTTGCTCTGTACTTTCACACATATTTGTCTAGCAAACAGGCAAAGAATAAAAGATAATAATAACACACACTGTGTGTGAAGATGTGGTTAAACAGGCACTTTCATATATTGAAAGATGGGGAAAATCTCAGATATTTCTCTCTCTCTCTGTCTTTGTCTTTCTCTTGGGTTGGAAAGGAGTGCCAGCCATGAGGAATCTCAGACTATAGATTCGCCAGTGGCTCCCCACTGCCCTTGACATAATATCCAAGCTCGTTAACATGACAAATAAGACCAGTGTATCCCTGAAATCTAGGTGAGTTCCTGGAACACAGTAGGTGCTCATTAAATATTTATTGGCTGAATGAATGAATGCATGGATGGATGCTTGCCAGGAGGACTCATATGATAAAACTTTTACACCAGGTTAATCTGAGCTAGGAGAGAAAATGTAATAAGCATCACAATGCATTTCCAAAATGCTGTGTACGTGCTACCTCCCCTTCTCGCCTCTTCTCCAGAGTGGCAGCAATCCCCATCCCGTTTACCAAAAGAGACAACAGAGGCACAGAGAGGCTAAGCGACTCCCCTAGGGCCACACAGCGAGAAGACTGTAGGCTTAGTTCATGGGAAAAGGAAGATTCCTAAGATTGCAAGACTCTTATACCCCACCCCAAATCCAAAGACGCTGCATTGCTATTAAGCACCTGAATCCTCCCAAGGTTCAGAGTCAAACATCCAGAAGGCCTTATTCAATCGCTTTTTTTTTTTTTTTTTTTTTAATTTTTTTTTTTTTTTTTCCCCCCAAAGCCCCAGTAGATAGTTGTATGTCATAGTTGCACATCCTTCTAGTTGCTGCACGTGGGACACAGCCGCAGCATGGTCGGAGAAGCGGTGCGTCAGTGCACGCCCGGGATCCGAACCCAGGCCGCCAGCAGCGGAGCGCGTGCACTCAACCGCTAAGCCACGGGCCGGCCCTCAATCACTTTCAAATCAAGTGCATGTCAGAGGATAAAAGAGAAAGGGGCTTGGTGCAAGAGGGTGCAACTCCCCGGAGGGCCAGCAGGTGGAGGCAAAGCACACCCAGGCCTCCCGTCTTCCCTGCTCACCTGCTGTTTTCCACCAGGTAATGCACGATTTTGTCCAGGACCTTCTCAAACAAGGCTGTGCGGATCCACAGGTGCTTGATGGCGAGCGGGGACAGGCTGGGCAGCTTTGGAAGCTTCCGCACATTCTCCTGGAGGCCCTGGATCTGGTTTCGCCTTCAAGACCAGTAAGGAGGAGAATAGATATTCACAAAAGAGGAGATCCGACAGGACCAATAAGCAAATGGGAAAATGCTCAGCCTCTCTAGGAAACGGAGGAATGGCAACTAAACAACAAGAGCCCATATTGCTCCTGGCAGATGGGTAAGGAGTTGAAAAAATAATGATACCCAGAGAGCATGAAGATATGGTAAAACAGACACTTTCATAGACTGTTGATGGCAAGCCAGATTCTCATACCGATATTTCTCTTTCCCTCTCTCTCTCTCGCCTCCTCTCTCCCCCCAGCCCTTGCTGGAAAGGAGTGCTGGTCGAGAAGAGTCTCGGATTATAGATCCTTCAGTGGCTCCCCAAAGCCTTGAGGAGCAAGTTTTTTTTTTTTTTTTTTTTTTTTGGGTGAGTTATTTTTGCCCTGAGCTAACATCCATGCTAAATATCCTCTTTTTTTTTTTTTTTTTTTTTGGTGAGGAAGAGTGGCTTTGAGCTAACAGCTGTTGCCAATCTTCCTCTTTTTGCTTGAGGAAGATTAGCCCTGAGCTAACATGTGCACCAATCTTCCTCTATTTTGTATGCAGGTCACCGCCACAGCATGGCTTGATGAGCAGTGTGTAGGTCCGTACCCGGGATCCGAACCCGTGAGCCCTGGGCCACTGAAGCCGAGCACACAAACTTAATCACTATGCCAATGGCCGGCTCCGAGCAGCAAGCTTTTTAACTTGATGGGCAGGGCGCTCCATGACCTTGTCCCTGTTCACCTCTCCAGCCATCTCCTTATCACCGCCCCCTCTGATCCCATGATCCTGACAGAGACATCTGCAGATCCCTGAGGCCACCAGGCTCTCCTCTGAGAACCTTCCATGAGCTGCTGCTTCCTGGTTTCCCTCCACACCCCATTCCCAGGCTGACCCCTTCTGACTCCGAGAGGGCATCACCTCTTGGACCAGCCAGAGCTGGGGAGGGGCCCCTCCTCTGTGCTCCCTCAGCCTGTGTGGCTTAATCCCTGCTCACTTTTCTGTTGCCCCTCTAGACTGTGACCTTGAGAGTATGGACTAAGTGATTCAATTATTTTTTATATAAAATACTGAGAGTCCACCACGTGGCAAGCATGGACCCTCTTCATGGCCATGTCTCCAGGGCCTAGCACAGGGCCTGGCATATAGGAGAGGCCCAGTAAATATGTTCGTGAATGAGTGATTGCATGAAGGAATGAATGGTTCCCCCTTACCACTGGCATGGGCACCTCCAATTCCTCCACTAGAAAGTCACTCCCAATATCAAGAAAGGCCTGTGGAAATCCATCCCTCTAAGAAGTGATCAGCAAACACCTGGGAATTAAGCAGATGGCCTGGAAGGCACCTGAAGACCAGGTGGCTCAGAAGACAGATTCCTAAAGGGAGTTGGCAACGCCAAATCCAGAGCCCTGCCCATCATGCCATCTGGCCAGCAGCCCTGGGCAGGCAGGGCCTGAGGACAAGGAAAGCACCATTTCTCCTTCAGTGAAGCGGAGTAATCACCATGGCACAGACGGTAAACGCATGGCACGCGTGTCTCTCTCTCCCTTGCCTCACCTGTGACAGACATGTCTAATCAATCCACGCACTCTTTCCCATGAGGCCCAATCACAGCTCCAGAACCTTTCACAACACAGTCCTCTGGGCAGCCACTGGCACCACCTGGAGCTGAAACCTGTTTGCCATCCCCGACCAGGCTCCAGGTTGAGGGTCTGGCTGTGCAGTCGGGGCTCTAGGGGGTGGCTCTGGCGGGAGGGGCTCATGTACACCCCCTCAGGCCAGGGCCTCCCCCTGAGCACATCCAACCGGAGAGTGGAGAGAGTGTGGTGGGGGGAGCCCCAGCCCTCCCGCTGCTCGGCACTCACGCGCTCTCGATCAGCTGCTCCAGGTCCTGGACCTTGCGGCTCAGCTCCTCGGCCGGCGGGAAGCTCCTGCCCACCTTCATGAAGAGAGCCGCGATCTTGTTGCTGCGCAGGAAGCCGGCCGCCCGCCGCCGCAGCCCGTGCAGGACGCAGGCCTCCACGGCCGCTGCGGGGACACGACGGTCAGCCGGCCTGCCCTGCCCAGGCTCCCCGGCACCCAGCCCAGCTAGAGCTTCGGGGGCCCCAGAACCCCACAATTCCTGAAGGTATCAATGCGAAAAATGTGTACACCTGTCCATCTCCGTCCTTCCCAAGGGAGCAGAGAGCTCAGTGGTTAACCCACGCCCGCAGCCCCAGGTCAGACCGTCTCTGTTCATATTCTCTCCCAGCCACCAACTAGCTATGTGATGTGGGCAATTACGTCCCCTCCCCGTGCCTCAGTTTCCTCATCTATAAAATGGGGACAGTATGAACATTAACCACATAAGGTTGTAGGTAGGATGAGGCGGAAAAATGCACAGACAGCACTTAGCACAGAGCCTGGCACACGTGGGTGCTTTACAAACGCTAGCCAGTACTCCTGTCCAAGTGGGAGGCGGATGGGACCCCAGGGCTGCCGAGCTTTATCTGGCTAAGGAATCACATCCGTGCGATCAGCATTGTGATTCCGGTAACAGCTGACATCATGGATCTCACTCAACCTCCGCCACGGCCAGGCGAGAAAGGAAAACCATGCCCATTTTGCAGATGAGGAAACTGAGGTTCCGAGAGGTGGATTGAATTCCCCCAGGCCACCCAGCAAATAAGTGATGGAGCTGGGATGCAAACCCAGGTGTGAGCCCAGGATGTGCTCACCACACGTAGGCCTCCACGAAAGACCTTCGATGGGAGGATTCAGTGTCATCTGCCCATTTCTGTGTTCCCCTGGAGGCCCTGCCCAGCCGTCCTCAGAGGGGAGGGTTGTAGCCTGGGCTCCACCACTAACATGCTGTGTGACCTCAGGCAAATCGCTTTCCCTCTCTGGGCCTCTCTGTTCCTTTCTGGGAAATAGACCCTGTGCAAGCCATTCTGACGGCCTCTATCTTATTTCTGGTACTTTCAGCAGCCCTCTGGTAAGTCTCTTCTTACCTCCGTCTTACATGGCAGACTGGGTGCTTACTCTGGTAGGCGATAAGAGCATAATCAATGCTTATGGGAAAAGTGAGTATATAAGAGCTACTCCTTATTGGGCACCTGTGGGTTACCTTACCAGGGTTGAGGTTTATCCTTGTGACAAAACCCATGACAAGAGTGTTCTAGGAATCGCCATTTCACAGAAGAGCACACCAGCACCCCGAGGGCCGAGAGCCTGGCCAAGTTACGTTACGGGCAAGGAGAAATACTGAGAAGTTTTGGTTTCACGGCTTGTCTGGGTTTCTTTGTTGGCAACGACTTGGCTTTGCATGAATGTCCACGTCTTGCCTAATCTGCCCACAGATTTAAAATATTCTGGGTGAGGATCTCTTAAATATCCTCATTTTCACTTACAGACACAGTACCTTTCATTTGTTTACATTGAAATAAGTCAATCCCCTATTCCGGCCTTGTGGACATCGTTCGATTCTTTCTGACAATGGCTCATGAGGAACAATGGAGAAAAGAAACTCCCAGGAGATCCTTTGGGCCCCATTTAGTGCCATCAAATTTCTCTCACCCCAAAACTTTGATGAGGGTTAGAGAATTATTATGATTTTTCTCACTTTCGATTCCTCTAAGTCTTTAATTGGTAGGTATGCTGGCAAGTCCTGAAATCGACATGCATATTATTTTATCTGCAAACAAAAATGTCCAGGAGAAAAAAATTGGGCATATATATATATATTCCCATATTCACAGTTATGTGTATATATAATACACATATACATACATACATAGGTGCATGTATACACATACATATATGTACATAAATATATATATATTTTTTAAATGAACATATCTCACTTTAAAAAAATAGGATCTTGCCAAGGTCTCCCAAGAAGAAAGTGGCAGAGGTGGGATTTGAACCCAGGTCTGCCCGGCTGCAAAGGGGTTGAACTGATGGCAGTGGGCTCCCAGCCCACAGCAAGTGCTCCCGTGTTGTGGGCCCACGGGTGGTGCCCTGGCCATCTGGACGGAAGCTGACAGACCTTTCCATGGGGCCAAGACCGTGAGAGGGGAATTATAGCATGTCCTTCATTATGAGACACTCCAACCATGACATAAAAAGGTTTTCAGGGAGAAAGACAGAAACACCTACTCATATGTACACGCTGATTATGAGTTGAATCCTGACTTTAGGACACACAAAACACGTGTCTCTAGCGATTGTGAAAGGACAGTAAGAACCTGGCAGCACGGTTATTTCTGGAAGCCTGTGAGCATAGCTGGTTCAAGGAGAGAAGTCTGAGTCACGCTCCGAGCCTGGGCCTGCTTCCTCTGCTGAGCCAGCTGGACGTGATCCCTCAGGATGTGTCGATGGCTCTTAATTCCCTATTTTTTTTAAGTCCCCATCCATCCTCTCCCTTTATTTGGCAACAGCCGTAGGCAGAGCGAGGAAAGGACATGGAGCCTATTCCTCAGATGCATGACCACTTGTCACCTGGGGGGCAGGGTCATTGTGAACCGAGCCCACGGAGGGGAAGCCAGTCCCGCCAGCGTTATCCATGATCACCTTCTTCTCTAGACTTTCCTGTATTTCCAAACTCTCTAATGAAGGACCTTTGGAATCCGAAAATAACTTCGGAGTTACAAAGGAAAAAAGTGACGTAAGAACCCTTGCTCAAAGACGCTGCCTTCCCGAGACAGCCCGCAGGAAAGGAAGCCACTCTTCAGGCCACGGGCCACGGACTCACCACAGAAGGAGATGATGTGGCTGCTGTCTTCGTGGATAAACTTCCGTGTGACGGCCTCTTCCATGATCTGCTTCACCTGCAAGGCAGAGGCAGCCGGAGGGGGACACCCAAACGCGACCGGGGCTGCAGACGCCCCAGAGGGCCGCGTCACCTCGCCCTGCCTTCTCAGGCCGTTCGGGACATTCTGATAAGTGCTTTCCTCCCACACCCTCCTCACCGCGTCTTCCGTAGGTCTGCGGCCTGGGGCCTGTGACAGCCCCACGCGTCACGTTTTACTGAATTATTCTTTTGGGATCTCTGCACGATGGGCTTCTTCTCAGGTGTCACCTGAAATGTCATCTCCTTCCCTGACCACATTCCCCAAGGTAGCCCTCCCCTCTCTCCATCCATCACCAACTGTAGTTCCTTCGGAGTCCTTACAATTATTCCTGTCCTATGTGTCTACTTGTTCACTGTCTGTCTCCCTCTTCCAGAATATCAGTTCCCTGAGGGCAGGGCCTCGTCTGCCTTGTTCACTGCTGTATCCACGGAGCCCAAAACAGTGCCTAGAAAAAACGTTTTCTAGGGGCCGGCCCGGTGGCGCAAGCAGTTAAGTGTGCGCGCTCTGCTGCGGTGGCCCGGGGTTCACGGGTTTGGATCCTGGGTGCGCACCGACGCATGGCTTGTCAAGCCATGCTGTGGCAGAGTCCCATATAAAGTAGAGGAAGATGGGCACAGATGTTAGCCCAGGGCCAGTCTTCTTCAGCAAAAAAGAGGAGGATTGGTGATGGATATTAGCTCAGGGCTGGTCTTCCTCACAAAAAAAAAAAAATGTTTTCTAAATGAATGAATGAAACAGGTATATAAAACAATCAGGAGGGTGTGGTGTGAAAAACCAGCCCTGGAATCTGGAGACGTGGTTCGAATCCCAGCTCGGGCCCTGACCAGCTGGATTTGGGATCTTGTTTTGGGAAACGGAGGCTCAGGGAGGGGAAGCAACTTGCCCAGAGAGGTAGTGCTGGCCCACAGTAGAGACAGAACCAGCCCAGGTCTGACTCCCCAGGCTGCGTGCTTTTCCAACCACGCTCACTCGCTCAGCAAACATTTCTTGAGCCCCTCTGAGGTGCCAGGCATGGGGGACACGGTGCTGAAAGGGCCATTGTGCCTCTGCTCATGGAGATGACCCTCTGGGGACCTGAACACCCTCCTGTTTTGCTGGATTCTGGGCCTCACTCACTGACTTCAGCAAAGCGTTTCTTCTGTCTGAGCCTCAGTTTCTCCACCTTGAGGTTGAGGAGGTCAGAAGAGATGATCTCAAAGGCTGGTCCCAGCTCTACATCACCGGGGCTGTGACATGGGGGTGAAGGGACCAAAGTCCCGAATCCCCCCCTCAGGGGGCCCCTACTGCCCTCCTGGCCTCCCCATGGTCCCCTCAGACTCAGCCCGGCCAGCACCTCAATGCAGCTGTCCAGAGCAGTCTCAGGCCCTCCGTGCCCCTCTCTCCCTTCCTTCTGGGTGCCTTCTGGAGGGGAAGACAGACTCAAAGCATCCCCGGCCACGTTCTCTGGAAAACACACGGCGGTGCCCACCCCAGAGCTGGCGCACCACCCCCGCCCCACACAACCAAACAGATTGCGAACAGCTGCTCAGCACGCTCCAAGCTGGGCTCTGCCAGCAGCATTTCTAAGCCTGAAAACCACCTAGCCAGGCCCGTGGAATTGGCCCCATTTATGGATGTGGAAACTGAGGCTCAGGGAGGCCAATCAGCCCGCCCAAGGCCACACAGCTAGGAAGCAGCAGAGCTGGAATTCTGACTTACACCAGTTTTTTCCATCTTGGCTCCAGCTGCCATATCCTGGCCCCTCTAGCTACTTGCTGTGTTTCCTCGGGCAAATCACATCACCTCTCTGAACCTTAGCTTTCTCACTGGGTAAAGGGCTTATGGGAATCGCACCTGCCTCAAGGGGCTATGGGAGGACTGGAAAAGGTAATGTACTCCACGTGCTGAGCACAGAGCCTGGTGCACAGTGTGCCTGCAATAAATGTCAGCTGCATGCAGGTCGCCACCCTGCCTGGAACCTCATCTGGCCTTTTTTTTTTTTTTTTTTTTAAAGATTTTTTTTTATTTATTTTATTTTTTTTCCCCCCAAAGCCCCAGTGGATAGTTGTATGTCGTAGCTGCACATCCTTCTAGTTGCTGTATGTGGGACTCGGCCTCAGGATGAACGGAGAAGCGGTGCCTCGATGCGCACCCGGGATCCGAACCCGGGCCACCAGCATCGCAGCGCGCACACTTAACCACCAAGCCACAGGGCCGGCCCTCATCTGGCCTCCTTTTACCGTTATTCCAGTCCTGGTTGAAACACCACCTGTTCAGGAGATTCAACTCCCCTGCTTGGTTCCCACAACGGCAGTTTTATAACACCCATCAGATTTATAAGGAATTTTTTTTTTTTTTTTTTTTGCTGAGGAAGATTGTCCCTGAGCTAACATGTGTGCCAATCTTCCTCTATTTTATATATACGGGATGCCACTATAGCATGGCTTGATGAGCGGTGTGTAGGTCCACGCCTGGGATCCGAACCTGCGAACCCCAGGCCACCAAAGCGGAGCGCGTGAACTTAACCACTACACCACTGGGCCGGCCCCAGATTTATAACGATTTCATCAGCACCTGGCCTCCCAGCCAGGCTGTGGACCTCATGAGGGCGCACGCCCTGTGCCTCCCTGCTTTACAGCCATGGTTCTGGCACACCATGGGTGCGCCATAAAGTTCTGTCTGAGGAATGAATGGGCTGAAGGATCATGATTGACTTCTGCTTTGGTAGAACATTTTAGCTGAAAAAAATGCTTTCTTGTCACCATAATCATGGGTCAATAGAGCAGCAGTATTATTATTCCTGTTTGTCCAGGGAGGAAACAGTCACAGAGAGGTGGTGCAACCTGCCCAGGGTCACACAGCTGGTGAGGAGTGGAGACAAGAGCTTGGACCCAGGTTTATCTGACTCCAGAGGCTGAGTGGCTTCTACAACATGCTACAACATGGTCTCAGAGCGTTTCCCACCCCTCTCCCCTCCCCAGGCACCTGCCTCCCTCTTTCTTTTGCTCCCCTGAGGCAGGACAAAGTGATGCTGATCTATAACCCAGTCTCTGAGAACCAGCCAGGTTCTCAGAGGGGGCTGAGAAGCACCCAGACCTGGACATCTTTTGGGAATAGAGGGGCAGAGGGCGTGAGTTCAGGCTGAGTAGTGGATGGAGGTGGACAGGGAAGGAGGCACTGGGGGGGTGTCCGGGCAGCTGGCTCAGGCGCTCTTTCGGAGAAGCACAGTGGTTAATTAAGAGCTAAGACTCTGGGGCCTGACAGACCTGTGTTCAAATCCTGGCTCAGCCACTTCCTAGCTGTAGGACCTTGGGCAAATTCCTTTACCTAGTACCAACTTCTAAAGAGTCAGTAAAATCTGTTGGCTGTGCCATCAAAATATACCCAGAGTCCGACCGTTTCTCATCCCCTCCACCTGCCCCTCCCTGGTCCAAGTCACGTCTCTCCTGGATGGACACTGTAACCTCTCACTTGTCTCCCTGCGTCCACCTCCTAGAGGCTCGTCTTAACACAGCCAGAAGGATCTTCTTAAAAGGCAAGCCAATAGAACAACCAGACAGAAGATCAATAAGGAAATAGAGGACTTGAACAACATTATAAACCAATCAGACCTAACAGACATACAGAACCCTCCACCCAACCACAGCAGAATACACATTTTTCTCAAGTGCACATGGAACATTCTTCAGGATAGAGCATACATATGTCAGGATGAAAAACAAGTCTTAATAAATTTTAAAAGACTGAAATAATACAAGGTATCTTTTCTAATCACAATGGAAGGAAACTAGAAATCAATAGCATAAGTAGAAATTAACAACACACTCTTAAACAACCAATGGGTCAAAGAAGAAATCACAAGAGAAATGAGCAGATATCTTGAGACAAATGTAAATGAAAACACAGCATACCAAAATCTATGGGATGCAATGAAAGCTAAGAGGGAAATGTATCGCTGGAAATGCTTATGTTAAAAGGAGAAGAAAGATCCCAAATCAACAATCTAACTTTATGCCTTTAAGGAACTATAAAACAAGAAGAAACTAAACCCAAAGCTAGCAGAAGGAAGGAAACAATAAACAGTAGAGCAGAGATAAAGAAAATAGAAAAAATTAACAAAACCAAGACTTAGTTCTTTGAGAAGTTCAGCAAAATTGACAAACGTTTAAGATAGATTGACTAAGAAAAAAAGAGAGAGGGCTCAAGTAACTCAAATCAGAATTGAAAGAGGAGACATTATAACCAATGCCACAGAAATAAAAAGGATTATAAGAAAATACTATAAACAGTTGCATGCCAATAAATTAGATAATGTAGATAAAATGGATAAATTCCTAAAACACACAATCTACCAAAATCTGAGCAGACTTATAAGGAAGGAGAATGAGTCAGTAATCTAAAATCTCCTAACAAAGAAATGCTCAGGACCAGACTGCTTCAATGGTGAATTTTGCCAAACACCTAAAGAATAATTAACACCGATCCTCCTCAAACTCTTTCCAAAAAAACTGAAGATGAGGGAATACTTTCAAACTCATTCTGTGAGGTCAACATTACCTTGAAACCAAAGCCAGACAAAGGCAGTATACAAAAACTACAGACAAATATCTTCAATGAATATCAACACAAAAATCCTCAACAAAATACTAGCAAACAGAATTCAGCAGCATATTAGGACTGTACACCATGACCAAGTGGGATTTATTGCTAAAATGCAAGGATGGTTCAACATACGAAAATCAATCAATGTCATCCGCCACATCAACATATCGAAGAAAAACACATCACATGATCATCTCAGTTGATGCAGAAAAGCACTTGACAAAATTCAACACCCTTTCATCATAAAAACACTCACCAAACTAGGAACAGAAGGAATTTACCTCAATAAAGGCTCTATATGGAAAATCCAGAGCTACTATCGTTTGTCGTTGTTAGTGCCGTCCAGTCAATTCTGACTCCTAGCGGATTCAGTGTACAGCAGATCAGAAGCCTGC